TTCCGTTGCTCCGTTCAACTGTGTCGTATTCAGAGTGAAAGACGTATTAAATATTCCGATGGCAAGATACTTTCGTGGTTTACTCGACGTTTCGGTTATTTCGTAGTTCCGGCCGTGGTTCGTGAATACATAATTAGAAGTCTAAATTACGATGTGACGTATACACGGTAGAAATACGTAACAAGACGATAGTTATGTGTCGGAATATAAAATTATAGAAACCGACGCAATATAGAGGGAAATTCTACGTGATCGCGAACGTCAGAGATAAGAAGACTTTTCGCAGGAACGTTCTTTAACCACGATCAAGAATTACAATGTAATGTGACATGACGGTGATTTGCGACCAATCGATGGTACTGTTAACGTGCGAAAACATAGTTCGTTACGAATTGTGAAAATCAAGTGCAAATTATACACAAAATCAAGAAACACGTCGAAGAAAGCGACACGACCGCACCATCGGAGTATAGAAACGCGACTACTGAGAAACGCTGTGCGGTTCGACCTAAACCTGACATACTCTCCCGCCTGCCCTCCCGTCCGACCGGTTATGCTCGTCTGTCGAGCCGTCATCTCATACGTACGCTTGGTTCTTTCAATCCCCTCCACTGGGACTATATCTCGCCAATACGCCCTCGCACAGGCTGAAGCACGCGTCGGCACGGCATATTGCAGGAGCGTAACTAGTGGAACCACTGCGAGGGCGCTCTGCGTCCGACTCCGAGACAGGTGCCGTCCTACGTACACGATGCCTTACATGATCGTGCAAATCGGTACAAGATTCTGCTGATTAAAATAGTGTTTCGACTCACACCGGACATACTGCGACGGGCTTATATATTTTCACTGGGTATGTACTCTGTCATTGATGTTATTAAATTATTCGGCTCGTTATCAAATACTTACACGCTTTATCGAAATCTTTTTTCATCAAAATCTTCAACGCCAAGAATTTGATGTTTCCTGAAACACGTTATACAAAACGACAAGGGTATTTCGAACGTAATGGCGCACCGTGAAGGATTTCATGGAGGATTAACAACTTTCGAAATATTTTGAATAATTATATGTAACGCCAAGAAGAAAACAAGAGAAAAATATAATATGCGTAAGATTTTTACGCACGGGCGAGCAATAGAGACGAAAAATCTACAGTGTCGCGATAGTAGGTAATGAAAGTGTTACACGACAGTTTTACATCGTATGTATTGTAATTTCAGTGATATTTAAAAATCTACGCATACAATTTATTAATATCGCGAAAACGTTTCACCGTGGACGTATATTTCGTTCCATTTGACATGATTTAATGACGAATACCGCGAGTTGTATTACATACAGTACGAAGTAACGCCACAGGGCAGACCACCGATCACATACAGGGTATACACACACCCTTTGCACTCCGTAGTGGCACAGCCACACTTCGCCACATCGATTTTACCGGCTTGCTTGCACTCACACTCGGTCGACCCGTTCACTGAAGGAATGTCTCATATGCCTCCCTCCGGCTCCCTTTTCCTCTCCCTTTGCCCCTCCTGACCCTCCCCCTGTAAAACCTCTCCCTCAGTCAGCCAGCTCTCTTTCCAACTTACACGCTGTCCATCCCTCTCCACCATGCTCACTAACCTCTGTTTGCCTTCCTCTTCCCCTCTTTGCTTCCTCTCATGGGTCTCTCGATCTCCCTTAGTTTCTCTCTCGCTCTCTCCCAATTTCTCTCTTTCTCTTTTCTTCTCTGTCTGTTGTGATCGCAGAGCGGTAGCGCCGTCGCAGGGAGATGGATGTTGCACCTTTTGCCGCATCTCGGAATCTCGCGCGTTGCTCATTTGCCGTACATAGGAGTGGTGAGGAAAGAAGAGGAGAGGAAAGGAAAGAGGGAGTGCGAGAGTAAGCGAGAAAGGGAGAAAGAGAAACCTCCGCTAGATAGTAGTTTGCGAGCGGGGCACGGTGGTCGGACAGTTCCAGTTCCGTTTCGATTAGGCGAGTCCACGCCGGGGTTTTTGGCTCGCTTGTGGCCCGTGAAACGTACGCGTAATGACGTTTATCGTGGCCATTGACGGCACTCGGTGCTGCTGGTGCTGTTGCTGTTTACCCGGCGAGCTAACTGCACGCCACTTTTACAAGTGGAACTGCACTGCCGAGGAAGACACGAAGTGAGCCAACTTCGTGTGCGTTCGGAAAAGATAGCTTATGTGCGGCGTTTAAATCGTTCGATACGACTCCATGGTTATGGTCATACCGGAGCCAGATCGTCAGGGTTAGAGGAGTGCACTGTAAAATCCGCATGTCCCGATTCACTGGGTTCGTATATGACACCACTTCGCATGTAACCTCCCTGTAAGCAATGCTTACGCACACTCGCGTAAGCACACAAATACAGACAAGACTGTCTTAAAAGCAAATCGCTGCCGGAGGAACGATTCCCCGGCCCTCTAGCCCAGTTCCGGGCACGGCCATTGATTCATCGATAAGGAAGTTTCCTATCCCTTGTCGGATTTTTGGCACGTTTAAATAAAATACGAACAAGCGATAGGAAACATCCGTATATCATGAATCCTATCTTCAGAATTCATCGTTATGTTCTAATTGATGATACGCGAACACATCAGATTCGTACACGACGATGAATATTTTTCCAATCTATCGTATACAAATTATATATATTTTATTCAGCTTTCTTCTTTCTGTCCTCTTATCTCTTGATCTTTTTGATACCTTTATCCACACAAGAATAAACATGCGCGGCAAACGTCAAGTTAAATCATAGTTTACACGTGCTACTATCATTGTAAGAACCTCCAGATTTGATATCTTATTTAACGATTATGTTCATTGTGTGTATTACTATCGGTGTTTGATTGAATCATTTCTCGTGTGGAATTGATCACGTTTACGTTGTTGAGCAGATTTCTGATATAATTTTAAAATTGCCCATATAGTTTAATATTGATACTCTTATAAACATTGTGTTTACTTCCGTTTCCTCTCCTTCTGACTCCGATAAACGTTTAGATGGTATCGTAACATTTTACCGTTGTACGTGATAAAGTGTACTTACATTCATATTTTTCGCGAACACCTTAATTATATATAGATTACTGCACACAGAAATATTATGTAAGCTATCTATTTACTAAGATATCAAAGTGTAAAACAATTTTGAACGTCCATTGCAACATGTACTCCGTTCTTGTTTAGTTCAAATTATACGACACTGCATTAACATTAATCTAAAATACGAAACATTAGAAAATATTTAATATAACGTTACAAGAATTTACTTTATCTGCCGAACAAATAATACATTAGAATTTTCGTGAAACAATAATAGAATATAAATGCCGCATCGTTCTTTCTATTTTTCTACATTCATGTTTGTACATTTCGGGATACAGTGTTTTGCTTAAATATTAAGCATAAAAATAGTTACTTCCTGTAATAGAAACGCTTTAACGATACGCGTATTGATTACTAGCACAGTCTTACTTTCAAACGTTGCAGGTTAATTGAAACTTAGCAAGTATATAGTAAGTGAAAAAAGAAATAACGTATCCAAACAAACGTGAATATAGCGATAATGTATAAATTACGCGATTGAAGTTTTAAAAACAGAGAACAGAAGTTGCATCAAAAAGGACAAGGAGTCGAGGTGTGCAATTTTTTAAACGATTCATCCATATTTGCAGTGCTTTGCAGTAGCGATGTTTTAATCGCAAACGGCGTGTGCACGTCAGTGACAGAGCGTGGAATTCGAACGTGTGCGTTCCGCCTGGCAAACGCGCAAACGCGTGACCGCGTCCATGAGGACTTACCATTAATCCGGGTTCTTAACCGCGCGCAGAGTAAACGTGGCTGACACGCCGCCGATAATAATAATAAGAGTGCGTAATTTATCGGGGTATCGACGTCACAAACCTGGTGACGTAGTGTGTCATCGCGGTTATCGTTGCTGTTAATCGAAACCAGCTTGCCTAGTGGCTGTATTTGGTGCGTATGTAGAAAAGTATGTACGATAGGAAAGCCAGTTAACTAGCCGGCCTGACCAGAGTTCAGAAGTGAAGCAGTGAGTAAAACTGCCCCCTTGCGGTATGCGTCCGTGGTTCCCGATCCAACCACTCCTCTGCCATCGAGTTCTTACCTCCTACCCCCCTTCTCTATCTCTCATTCTCTCTGCTTCTCTACATCCACCCCCCTCTCCGTTTTCCGTCGCCTTCCTTCTTCCCTCTTCTCTAGCCCCGTAAACTCTCTGCCCTTCGCCGCCCCCCTCTGCTAGGGTCCTCCATTTTGTCGTGATTCCTCTAGCTCTAAACATATATCGCACATTTTGTTCATGCGGTGCTATTGACATTTACGTACAAATTGTGCGCGAAACTGTGTCTATGGTTGACATACTGTCTATTAATCCAAGTAGCAAATACGACTATGGGGCTCCGCCATAGGCTATCCTGGAAGGTGTCACTTCTCTCTCTCTCTATCTCTCTCTCTCCCTCCCTCCCTCCCCTCTCTTATTCTCTCTTGTACTGTCTTCCACTCTCACTCTTTCTTTTTTCATTTCTTATTAAACCTATTTCTTTCTCACTCGCACTTTATTCGTCTTCTCTCCTCTGTTTTCCTTGTTAGTCTTTCTCTATCCTTTTAAGTTTCTTCCTGCAGTAAATCGTATCTTTTAATAACATGCGATATTTGTTGGCCAATATCTTATACGCCGGTACGATTTTCGAAGTGTAACCTCTTCTGCAAGTATCGAATCTTGATTCGCGATACGATACTTTTCTCCATGTTGTTTCTCTAAACAAGCGTATACTGTTTTTCAATATCGGTAATCGTACAAAATAAAGTGTACATAATATGATCTTTGCTCTTCGTTACGGTGTTTTGAGCAGTATTTGCCTAATTCCGTTAGTACTGTAATGGTTTGTTCGTATTTTGTTGCAATATTTCTTCATGAAGAAATATGTTAAACGTTAATTTTTTTTATCAGTATTTCTTAATTTCAGATGTCTGCTGGGTCACAAATTCAGATGGCACCCCAATCAACTGTAAACTCTGGTCAGTCGGTTCATAGTCAAGATTCGAACATGAGCACTGGTAAGTTACCGTATCGTCACTGTATTCGGATAAAATAAATGTCATTTAAATAAATACTTTGCAAATTGTTAAATCTTTTCTCTTACAACTGCAATAATTGTGATAGGCTCATCGCATAGTGATAAGGAGGTAGACCCGAATACTCCGGAAAAGGTACCAAGAACTCCTTCGGAAAGAAAAAGAAAGCGAAAAGCAGATGATGGAGGTGGAGGAGTTACAGGGGGACCTATAGGAAGTAAGGGTTCTAGATCCGTTGCTGCCCTTGAAAATAAAAAGATCAATGAGTATTTTCCAAAGCATCATTTGGGCAATAGTCCCATCCGACACGGTGGTGCTAAAAGCCCTTCTCCTCAACAGGGTTATCCTATGGTAAATATAATATATACAAACTTTTGCATCCCTCAAACGTATTTCCCATGATATAATTACAACTCAATGTCTTTTCTAACTTTTTCCTCTATATTCTGTCTGATCTTTTATCAAATTATTTTTTGACAGTATCCACCATCGCCTCAACAACTCCTTTCACCGCAAGTAACAACACCCAATTCTTCAGTGGCAGAATTTTCTTCACTGATGCAGCCACCAAGACCTCATCCTCAACCTCCACCTCCTCCTCCACCAGCCTCGACACAACCTGCAGGCTCGATGGTCAGCAAGCAGGTGCAGGTAAGGCCTACCAACCTCAGTAGGACAAGCCAGGTCAGGCAAGCGAAGACTAACACCCCAAATGTAAGCAAAATTTGGTAATTCCTGCAAGCATTTTATAAGAAACAACCTACAAAAATTCAGTTTACAAATTGAATTTTGTAATTTCACTTGTATAAAATTGATTATTTTAAATTATGTATTAATATCTCCATGAAAAGGTACCATAAGAGTTACATTCATAATTAAATTGAACTGAATTGAAAATTTAATTCTTCCCTAACCATTTATTGAGCAATCGAGTTATGATGGAAGCAATATATTCATGACATTTATATAGAAATAATTATATGCTTCAATGATACAAATGTTTAAAATGAATTTTTCATTGTTTAAACAAGATAAATGGTAATTCTTTGTAATACCTTATCACTGGAAATCTGAATTACATAGTGAAATTTCATAGTTTATAAATATTATATACTTACTTTATTATTTATTACTAGGATACTTCAGTTTTTATTTAAAAAGTAAATGCCACATCGGTTTTATATATTTAATTTTCTAAAATAATCTATAATGGGCATTTCTTGTCAGATGTTTGCAGTAATCTGAGCTAACTTCTGACTGGACTGTAGCACTGTATCCATTTGTTATCATAGGAGTGCAGGCTACCTTGTAATATCACTTCTTAGTCCAAAATTTTTGTTTTGCCTTTAAGTTATGAAAGTTCTTTAATTTTATGTTCATTTTAATTGCCAAAATAAAAACAGGTGTGCATGTTTGTTGTTATTGTATTTAATTATAATTAGATTTCATTACAAATACGAGTAAATTGCAAACTGTTAGTTAATGTATGAAATATTACCTATTCTGGGGGAAAAAAAATGTAAAATACAGAATGTTCTACTGTTTTTTCATATTTACATGCATACCTTGAGCCCTGCATACATTTTTGGTGTTTTCCTTGCTGCCTGTGTGACAGTTCTGTTCTATCAATATATTTGGGTTTTATCCTGTAATTTTACTTTTGATAACCAATGAGTCAGGCTGTTATAATTGAATCACATGTAGTATTGACTTCATTAAAAACATATACTAAACGTTAGAATATTGTTCAGTTTTCTTTATGAAATTGCCGATATATCGTAACAAATAAGAACATTTAATATTCGCGTTACCTTTATTTGGGTGCAGCAAGGTATCTCGTATTTATGAACTATGCTGACAAATGTATCAGATGTTACAGTAGCTTGCTTATATTTATTATAAAATATATTAATTGCATTCCAGACAGAACTTACTTGCCAGAGGATACAAGAATTCGAAACTCAAGCCTCTTCAGATTTAGAATTACGTAACAACAAAATTGATGAATTAAATAGAGTAAGTATATTATATAAAATGAATACTTTCTTAGAATTTTCAATTTTATGCTAGCAATAAATAATGAAGAAGGAACAAATTTTAGAAAGATTTAAAACTATCGTTAAATAGTTCTTTATTAGAATGTAACTCTATTAATCATTTATGTATAATGTAGTAAAGTTCGTTATATCTTAAATTAATACGAATATTTATACTTTGTTTACAGACGACAGACGAACTTAGGCATCAAATGGCTAATCAACAGAAACTGATTGAGCAGCACAAATCCCATATAAATAAATGTATAGACGTTGTAAAGAAATTACTGAAAGAAAAATCAAACATAGAAAAAAAGGAGGCTAGGCAAAAATGTATGCAAAATAGACTGAGATTGGGTCAATTTGTGACTCAGAGGGTGGGCGCAACATTTCAAGAAAACTGGACAGATGGTTATGCGTTTCAAGAATTAGCACGACGACAAGAAGAAATTGCGACTGAACGAGAAGAAATTGACAAACAAAAAAAACTGCTATTAAAAAAGAGGCCATCAAATAGTGAAACTGGTAGAAAACGTAGTCAGCCACAACCTTCCTTGCATAATGGCACAGAAGCTACGTTTTTGAAACCAGATGCAGTACCTGGATCTTATACATGGCAGGAGTATTATGAAGCTGACGAAATACTCAAGGTAATAAATTTTTCTATTCCTCCGCGCGTTTTACGAACTTACCAATGACTGTGAGATTCTTTTATCCCGCTTATATCATTGTTAAGTGCATTTGTGTGTGTTAAATTTTTAGTTAAGACAAAGTGCGTTGAAAAAAGAAGATGCAGATCTGCAACTAGAAATGGAAAAACTCGAAAGAGAACGAAATTTGCACATCAGAGAGTTGAAACGTATTCATAATGAGGACCAATCAAGATTCAACTCTCATCCTGTATTGAATGAACGTTACCTTCTACTAATGTTATTAGGGAAAGGTGGCTTCAGTGAAGTGCATAAGGTACGGCGATTATATTTTTAAAATTATATTTCGCGATTACAGATATTTATTTAAGTACTATCAAAGTAATTCGTGTTTATAGGCATTTGACTTAAAAGAGCAACGATATGTCGCTTGTAAAGTTCATCAACTGAATAAAGACTGGAAAGAGGATAAGAAAGCTAATTATATTAAGTAAGTATTTTAAGTGTGATATAACGGAATTATATTTAAAATACTATTTATTCGTGCTATGTTTACATAACGTTACACTAAATTTTATTCATATAATAGTGTATTTCTAATAGATTATCTCGAACATTTTTACACAGACATGCGTTACGAGAATATAATATTCATAAAGCTCTTGATCATCCTCGTGTTGTGAAGTTGTACGATGTGTTTGAAATTGATGCCAATTCCTTTTGTACTGTCTTGGAATATTGTGATGGTCATGATTTAGATTTTTATCTCAAGCAGGTACGTATACTGATGTAGTTTTAATATATATACATATTAATATACATACTGCAGAAATGTTTTATTAAACATTCTTCATTTTTAGCATAAAACTATACCTGAAAGAGAAGCACGATCTATTGTTATGCAAGTTGTGTCTGCATTAAAGTACCTCAATGAAATAAAACCCCCAGTCATACATTATGATTTAAAACCAGGTAAATTTCTTTTGTATATAAATAGATTTAATTATTTACTAACTTTATTCGGTTTTGCATATTGTGCTACTAATATTATAACTTGACAGGTAATATATTATTAACTGAAGGTAATGTCTGTGGAGAAATAAAAATTACAGACTTCGGATTAAGTAAAGTAATGGACGAAGAAAACTACAATCCAGATCATGGAATGGATTTAACGTCTCAAGGAGCTGGTACCTATTGGTATGTATGTTTATACCATGCGAAAAATGTGATTTCTAGCTTAGGACGCAGTTATATTTCTCTATATTTGAATTCGTCAATAATAACATTAGAAAGAAAAAAAGTATATATATTTTACATGATTTATAGGTATCTTCCGCCGGAGTGTTTCATGATTGGTAAAAATCCTCCCAAAATATCATCAAAAGTTGATGTTTGGAGCGTGGGTGTTATATTTTACCAATGTCTATATGGTAAAAAGGTATGATTGATTACTGTAATTTTGTTTAAATATTTTATTATTTACATGCGATATAAATTTACAAATTTTGAACTACCAAGAATTATATACTTTCAGCCTTTTGGACATAATCAATCTCAAGCTACAATTTTAGAAGAAAATACAATTCTGAAAGCTACTGAAGTTCAATTTGCAAATAAACCGACTGTTAGCAACGAAGCAAAGGTATTTATTTTAATTTAAGCTTACTTAACCTTTTCGGTACGGAATGGTTCAATTGTGTTTGCTATGGCACTCGAGCGTGTTCGGCTGCTACGAACGATATCCGAATAGCGACTATAGTCACCGTCGATACCGAATGGGTTAAATAATAAAACGAAACCTTGAATTAACTCGGAAGATTGGAAAGATGCTATTGACACGTTACAATATTTTTCCTTTCAGAGTTTCATAAGAAGTTGCCTAGTATATAGAAAAGAAGAACGTATAGATGTATTGACATTAGCTAGACACGAATATCTTCAACCTCCAGTGCCAAAGCATGGCCGTCAAGCGAATAATCAACAGCAGCAGCAACAACAACAGATACAACAACAGCAGCAACAATCCTCGTATAGTATTGGCATGTTTAGTGGTATGAACGCGTCAAGCAGTTCGTAGTGGAAAGAAACTAAAGACAAAATCTTTGATATGCTAATACATGCCAAATCCTGAACACTGAACACCATCTCATTGTAGGAAAAAATAGCGATTGCTATAACGAACTGTAAATAGTAAAAAAAAAACCCGGATAGTATCACCATCACCAATACCACGATAACCACTACCACTCCACTACCACTATCACTACCACCTCCACCATCTCTACAACTATACTTACAGGCCGACTATATAAAACATTGCGAGAGATGCGAGACTGGTCGCCGCAAGTCCAGGAGCTTGCGTCTTTCTACAAGACAAGCTACATTATTCAGCATGACAAAAATGTTGTGTTCGTAAATATTCAATTGTATTATCGTTCCTTGTATCAAACAGTGAGCTGACTTGATAATAGTGTTTAAAGAGAAACAGAAAAAAAAAACATGTGATAAGTCATTGTGAATTAAAGTGAAGTTCAAATTAAGAAGAAAAGGAAACAAAGGAGTGCGGCAACGGGAATCATTGGAAGTGAATTACTCGGTGAATAACAAGCAACGGAAAGCTAAAATATCCGAGGCAAAGCACGTCAAAGCAGTTAGAGGGACTTTGCTTTCGCGGAGACGTTCCTCTCTTCTGAAGTTATGTATGTATGAATGAATGTGACGAAAGATTGTTAAAACTAGCGTGCGTGTATATATTTATACTATATATATATATATACTAATAAATCCGATATAATATATATATATGGTGTAAAGAACAGGACAGCATTGACAGTGGGAAGATAACTGTGGTGGATCCTCGCATGACCTCCGTGCAGCCAAGTATTCCATGAATATTTGACTGCGCATCATGTTACTTTATTCAAATATTAACATTATTACTGATATCATGACTAATAACGATTAACATACACGAGGAGATTTGGTTGGTTGTTCCTATTCTGAAACGAGTGGGCTTTATCTATACTGGATTGATTGATCTAAGGTTTGAATATAAAAAAAAAAAAACATAAACGAATCACGATGCTCCCAAATGAAAGAGAAACGTATAGAATCGTAGTCCACCGCTTATTATATGCCCCATGCACATGTACATTTTTAATCCGGAATTTCCTAATCGAGTGGCTCCTTTATTTTCTTTTTCGAGAGTGGACTTCGGCGCGTTAACTATGATCTTACATTTTCGTGATATATATCTATTTGTATAATCAGGCGTTAAAAAAATTTTAAGGTAAAAAATCATAATACTGTACCGACCTGATTATCATTTCTTTATTCATAATTTGTTTTATATATGTACGTTACATATAGATAATTATGAAATAGAAGACTAAGTTATTTTATCAAGTGCCCTTGCTTTGTATTATAGTCGCATCTGTCGACATACTGCAGCTTTTGGGAGTAACAGAGAGTTGTTAAAATGTTGTAAGTTGTTGGTACAATGTGGGCACGGTATTGACGATTCAGTACCAACGTGATTGGCAAAGTATGGTCAGAGGAGAATACATTACAAGTCTGAACAGAGTCTACTACTAGATCCATCGCTTCTATTTTAAAAGCCAACCGTTCCCGCTTCCCTCTCCTACTTCTCTTACGATTTTTTTTTAATTTATCGACGTTGCAAAACAAAAAAAAAAGAAAGAAACGTATACTTTTCAAACCCCCTGCGAGGAAATACTTTTTGTAAACTAAATTGAAAGAGACTGAGTGAATTCATTGGTCAGAAGATGAGTGAATTCATTTAATTTTTTTCCAAAGACGTGTATGCATAATTATCAAAATCAAACAATTAACATTTTTAGACGTATTATATATAATCGCCTTTTTTTTTTGTATATTCTAAAATTCAATTACAGTCGAACAAAAAGTTTCCAATTTCTTCAGAAATTTTACTTTAGAATAACAACCGAAAGTTATTCCGATTAGTTTTATAGCGTTGACGAATATCTTATCCGTAGTTAAAAATGACAATTGTGCATACTACTTCTGGGCATAAAAAGTAAGTATACTTTGGCCAGTAGAATTTACAAAAAAGAAATACTTCTTTTATTTAAAAAGAGTATTGTTTTTCCACGATGACAGGAAAGAAGTTAGAGCATTAAAAATCATTCAGTAAGGAAAGGAAAGATAAAAGAATGAAAAAAATCATTTATTGAGCATTTATTACATAAAGTCGCATCTGAGATTTGTAATGGTAAACGAATCTACACCAAGCAATGTTTGTATGTTTTGTGATACAAACAATATTGCATTTGTATATAATGAAAATTCCTTGAAAACGTATCATTAATAAAATTATCAAATGCATATATCGAAAACAAATTTTTATCCAAAGAGTGAGATTTTTTCACAAGAAAATTCATTGCACAAGAATTCTGATAATTGTCCGGTGAAATAAATTCCTCGAAAAGTATGGATTCTTAGATAGGCCAAAAAGGATTCCATAATGGTATTTTCAACTCTACGTGCTCTTATAATTATGCACGTTAGGGTTTGGAATATTGTTATGGATATTAAAAAAAAAAAGAAGTCATTCTAAGAATTAAGATGTTGCACTTTGAACAAACAGTAAATCTTTTTTATTGCCCCTGCGTGTCAGCATAGTCACGATCTTCCTCATAAACAACAGGAATTGCGTCGAGGATGGTGTATGAAACGTTATAGCAATAAATTTACGTATTTGTGTATAATTTAAAGTTAGTAAACTTATTAATTAAATATAAATTACGTATAACGGTGTATATTTTCCCTACAATATTATATGTATATATGTACTTTCTTTTAAGAGAAACGGTTTCAAGGTAAAACCGTAGATATAAAGTGTACAATTTATAAACGTCATCCTTAACGAACTACATTTGAATATTCTTATGGCCAAGAAAAGAAGTATTCTTTATATAAACAACGAAAAAATTGTTTTCAATTTGTTGCTTAAAAAATCGAAGTTACAAACTATAGAATAAACTTTATTAATGAAAAAGTTTCTCTAGTCTCCAGAAATATTTCTTACGGATCAAATATGTGTTTTATTTGAAGTGGATATGTAAGAAAACGAAATGTGTTTCATTTTCATACCATGTATATAATACATACATAGCAACGTATGTTTGTTGTGCTTATGCATGTAAACTTGATGCTCGTACACGAAAAAAAAAATTCATATACATACACAAACATAGACCTACGTAAAACTGATATAATTGGACGTGTATTTAATACATTTAATGTCATGTGAAACTTTTAAGTTTTTGATAAAAATCTTAGAAACAAGTCAGAAAATTACATTGTAATATTCGATGATAAGAAAATATCGACTGTGCTGAATTCTTTGCAGTATTATTTTCTTTTTCCTTTATTTTACTTCAGTATTGAACGAAAGAATCGACCGTGGTTAATTGATACAATTATTTTCACACGTTGCGGTAAGTACCTCGTATATTCAAGATACATTATTTATAAAAGATACTGAAAGATGTTTCCAACAAATATATGTGGATAAACGGTAATTTATGTTTCGTTACAAAATATAAGTTCGAGATATAAAGCAAAAAAAAAAAAAAAAAATAAGTGAAATGTATTTAACGAATTAAAATCATGATTGAATCTTTAAAGAATATACGTAATGCAATTCAATGCTTTGCCGGCAGGAAACACCGGAGATGTAATAATACGCGAAAATTTTAGAATGCATTCCGATCATCTCGAAGCCAATTAAAGACAAATCTACTTTGTATATTATCCTCGCCCGATTGATCAATAACATCCTCAATCGGTACGAGGAAATATACAATTAGAAAAGTACTAAGAAGTAGATTAAACGAAATAACCACGAAGCGATTACAAAGTATGTACTATCAGGAAAGAAGTGGGCAATGCTATATGTATAAACTTTATTAGCATATACATCAGGAAACATATTTTATAGTTATGTCATTGGTCTGAAAACAATTAGTACCCTTTCAAAACTGTTATATGCACGCAACATTTTAAGTATACAAAACTAAAATTTCTTTTCTCAAATGGATTTGTTATATTTTTTAAAATAAGTCTCTATAAGCAAATGTAAATACTCGTATAAATACATCAATAAAGTTAGATGTATCCGCTATAGCTGGAATTACTGTATATTTGTTTCGGCTCGCCCAACGATAGTTTCAAACAAAGTTAAATAAATATTAAGCTGTATAAACGATTTCTATGCATAGTTACTGTATTGTCCATTTAATATAAAAAGTAATGAAAAGAAAAAACCCACGTAATTATGAGTGTCATGCTGGCAGAGAACTAGAGCAAAGAACCCATTTACTGCCGCCTACCCAACTATTGCCACTCTAAATTATTTTACTTAAAATACAAAATAAACAAATTTTATTCACGAAAACCAAGTATAAATTTTAGATTGATTCGTAAACTATCTACGTTTTATTTATAAATTCGATTATAAATTAGAATCTAACGAATTTTTTAAACCAATATTCAGATGAGCAAAGTCGTTGACAAAAGCTAGTTACGAGCGAATCTAACATTTTTATTCATTATTCGAGAATAAATTTTGCCTAATACGAAAAATTAGGTTAGGTACGCACAGAATACAAGGTATGCAACAATAATAGCGTAGTTTTGTTTCTACATCAAAAATTCATAAAGTGTTTATACTGGTCACTGTCATTCAAATATTAAACGAAAAACTTGATCAATCATTGTATTACGATTGCTATTATTTTCTATGATGCTTATATAATCTAAAAAAAAACACATTTTCTTACATTTATAACTAAAATGCTACTGTAGTAACACTTCCGTCAGTATCTTGTTTTTACTTTTGCTTGCAAAGAAGTCGTTTCCTCTCTTCTTCATAATTATAAATATCTCAGCCAGTGGGGCAAAATTGTGAAGTTACAAGGTAATTGTTTTATATAGTTTTATTAGCGATCGTAGAAACTTATTAGCTTTAATTTATGTGTATCTTGAAAAAATTAGCGAAATCTGATCTGACCGCCGAAAACGGTAAACGTAGACGACAAATATTTACACTATACACCTACGACCTACCGTGCTTCCACGAGAAGAAGGCACAGCGTGTGTACATCCCCACTTCTGTTGCAGTCCGCTGACTCACAGGTATTGGTCGAAAACGATGACAAAGATCGGTGACAGCCAATCAGCGGACTGCAGCAAGAGTGGGGATGTAAACACGCTGTGTCTTCTTCTCGTGGAAGGACGATACATGCAGAACTATTTCAGAACCTGTATAGAATCTAAAAAATAACAGTAATAGAACGGATGCAAAAGTTTGAATTTAAACCGATGTATTCTGAAATGTATTCTTCATAATTGTTTCAAGAACCTATGCCTATGTTATAACAGTTTTCATGCTCCTTTTCCGACGCTTGCACGCAACAACCCTCTATTATTTAACTCCGAAACATGTCACTGAAGGCGCTACAAAACCATTTGTGAAAACTGGAAAAGATACCTATCAACCGATAGTTATCTTTTATCTGTCAATACTATAGTCTGTTGTATGAATGTCGGTTTATAAACAACATTGTTTGTTTGGTAACGATGATCGCAAGAAAATTGAAATTATACGTTAAAAATTGTCCAGTTAGAAATGTTGTCATTTAACGTAATAATTTTGATTAACGTTGAAATCGAAATGTAAATTACGCTTTTATTTTATAAATTAACAGTAAAAGTAGTAAATAATTCATAGACGAAAATATCGAATCATTTTGTTTTGTAAATATGACAACGTTAAAAGGTGTTTTTCCTGATCCAAGTAAGTCATAATTATGTCATTTGTAAATTTGTATACTAACATTATAATCAAGACTGAATATATTTAAAAAGTAATATGTTTACCATCGGATTGCATTTCCAAAGAGGGAATCTTTTTTTGCGTGTTTTCTACTTTTTCCTATAAGACTGTGTAGGTTGCTTAAGTTACATGATTTTGAAACAATTACTTTAAAGTCTGAAAAACATTTTTTATAGAGTGACAATTTGTAACAAAATGTTTTCTATAAAGAGCTTTGATGATCATTGATAAAATTTCCATTAAATTATGGTGAAACACCAAGTATGTACAGTTGTTTAATATTGTTTTAATAATTGTTATGTTTTTCTTAGAACCAATAAAACGAAAAGATTTTATTCATGAGAATGTGAAGAATGTTCGTCGTATAGAACAATGTTATACAAATAAAGAAATAGATGAAATACAAAAGTTACGATTGCATGAACACAAAAGCATTGGTAATAAATATCAAAATGTTCAATCGAAAATGAATTCGAATCTTCAAGTAAAGAAATATAAAGGCAATAATGTAATTGTAAATAACAAAATAGAACAGAAACAAAAGTTGTGTAAAAAATCCAATTCATCAATGTTGAACAAAACTACTGTTAGCGCAAAAAATATGCTACATTCAACAAGTAATAATAATTCACCGGTTAAGCAAAAAAAGAAGGAGTGTAAGAGCTTGCATAAATCTGTAGAGAGATTACACGAGAAAGTTTTATCAGATCCTAATCTTTCATGCGAATCAAGTAAACACGTTGATGATGATACAAAAATTCAAACAAAATTCAGAAGTCAAGGTATCCAAACACTGGATACAAAGGAAATGGATAATTTATATTCTGAAGGAATGATAAGGTACAAAATAAGTATAATTGTACTGTTTTATATTTTTTTGTTAATATAATTTTTTTTTACAGATATCCTTCAAAGAAATGTTTAAACAATTATGATTCAAAAAATAAAAACGAACCAAATCAATTGAATGATAAAGCCCTAAGAGATGCAACAAACACACCTTTAGATCAAGGGGATGTTAAAGATCTTCATAAAAATATACAGAATAAAACTAATTTAAGAAGTTCCGAGTTATTTTCGTCTAAAGGAGAACTAGATGTTACAAAATTAAACAAGAAACATATTTCTGTAGCTAGTAAAGTAACCACTCGGTTAAATAATAATAATAATAATAATAGTAATATCCCACCAAACAATTATCGCAAGGGTGTTGTTCCTAAGTATGTTATTAAAGGAAATATTATAAATTTTCCAGATTTCTTAACGTGATTTTTATTTAAAATTTTCCATCATGCTTTAATATTGTAAAATAATTGCTAATAATTAATAATACACTATTTTAATATTAAAAAATTTTTGGTTCATTAGATATCTTAAAAACAGAAAGGAAGCTCAAGAAAAAGAACAAAAAGCCAAAGAAGAGGTATTAGATCCTGATTGTCCTAATGGTCACGTTCAATTACCTGACCAAGAACGCAAAGAAACATTGCACATATTGAAGAAAAGTATGCAATTAAAAAAACCTTTACATTAATGTCTTTTATTCATCATCTATTACAACTTCTGTGTTAACATTACAGATTATCAAGATTATGTGAATGAACTAAATATGATGCCTATAAAGTCAGATACACTTAGGGCACAACAACGGAAAACAGAAATAGAGAAACAACTAAATAAATTAGAGGAAGGTATCAAGGTTTTTTCAAAACCTAAGGTTTATGTAAAACTGAATGCATAAATTACTGTTTTGTTATACAATGATATTTATGTATGTTACAATAAAATGATGAATTGCATTAAATGTTCAATACTATTTATTAAAATAAATTTACATACACGTTTGAGTTTTTGATAACTGTATTATAGACTTAGTAATAATAAATATTATGTTTAGTTGAAATTGTAGAGGGTGATAAAACAAAATATTAAAATCTTGTGATTCGTAATTTTTAGTAAAAATAGATTGAAACACTCGATATCAAAAATTGTAACATAACGCAAAGAAAAAATAATAAAAGTAATTGATAGTCGCTAAATTCAATTATAATTCCTGCTATTCCATTAGTGCTATGGTTTTGTTCTTTTCTGAATTTGTATCGTCGCATGTGATACGAAAATGACAAAATGGCTATGTATCGTCCTTCCACGAGAAGAAGGCACAGTGTATTTACATCCTCACTTTTGCTGCAGTCCGCTGATTGGTTGTCACCAATCTTCATCACCGTTTTCAACCAATACCTGTGAGTCAGTAGACTGTAACAGGAGTGGAGATGTAAACACGCTGTGTCTTCTTCTCGTGGAAGAAGAATAACAACAAAATGCAACCGATAATAGCACAAATGAGATATAGTGTTACACAACTGAAATGCCAACCTGATAAAAAACCAGTGATTTTCAAACGACCTCTTCTTTTAAAAAACGATGATCGTGGAAATTACAGCCAACTGAACTACTGAAATCGGTAAAGTTATCAAACATTCATTTTTCTGTAGAATCGACTTAGCAACGAGCAGACGATTCGATACTAAAATCTTCTGCACGATGCAATATCGTGTTGCGTCGCGTATCCCTCAATTTTTACTAGTTTTCTATTATCAAACACTTGCTTTGCAGAACTAAACGAGGAGATCGAAGGAATTTCGATTTCTGCTATCTCTTATGTTTGGTAATCCAGATTATAAGAATGTGAAAAAGAGATCGATGGAACTTGGCTTCCATCTATCTCCTTTCGTCTCTTCACTCACAGTAACCTTCTCGTGGTGAGACCTGATAATCAGTGTTACCCATGGAAAAAAATTTTTCTTCGTGAGTAACACCAAGCTAATGGCTGCGAATTTAAAATAGTTTTTTTAAATATCGGATCAAATTATTAATAATAGCAACCCTGTACATCATATAAGGATACTTACGACGTAATGTTTCATTCTTGGCTTTTAAATTGTAATGTACATATGTATGTATGCTGATGTAAAATTAATAAGATCTGTTTAATGTTCGAATATTTTTGTGACACAAGAATTAAGTATTATTTAATTTACCTGTATTATGTTTAGGATATGTTTTTCGAGATGTGAATAATAACGGCTAAGTAATTATTTTGGTCAATAATTAGAAATAGTACAGACAACTTATACGAATAGACCTTCCACCCAATGTATTTTTTCGGCCCATGAGATCTCATTACCATTTTCGTATCATTTGCAACGTTGGTTCTCGATAGAAATTCAAAGAAACTTTTAGTCTTCGGGCTCCCGGCGGATTTCGTTGGAGAAATGGAGACCTCGATTCAGGGATGCAGCCATCCGTTCTCCTATTGAGATCGAGTTAGCAAGGGCAGTAGGTTCGATCCCAAGATCCGCTGTACGGTTCAGCATCGCGTCGCGTCGCGTATCCCACTCTTTAGCTTCATCCCTCGTTTAAACAAAATAATTACTTGGCACAACTAAACTAGAAGATCGAAGGGATTTTGGTTCCTTCTATCTTCTTAGTTTAGTTATTCAGATTGTAAAATTGTGAAAGAGAGATCGATGGAACTTGGATTCCATCTATCTCCCTCTGGGTCTCCGTTCGCAGTAACCTCCACGTGGTGAGACCTGGGTAATATTATTTACCGTTTAATTAATAATCGTATCACTCTTAGCTGGGTAATGCAATTATTAATTAAAAACTAAATAATATTAGCAAATTGGCTGCGATCCGCCTTGCATGGGTTATCATAAATATAGAGCTTCTTCACTAGGTTAGTTTTGATTCTCATTGATTCGTTAAAGATTCTAGTGTATTGTCACAGACGAGGTATACGGGTAGATCTTTCAATCAGTGGATTTTTTTGGCCCATTTTCATGGGGTCTCGAAACCCCATTACTATCTTCATGTCACTCGCAACATTACCAACGGATTTAGAAATGAATTTCAATCCCTTCCATAGCAACCCACATGTATTTACGCACACGCTACAGCTGTCTGCCCGTCAATGCTAATTCAGTGAATAGTTTCTCAACTGACCGCCATCCATGAGAAGAGGTCGCTAAAATCACCTCCGAATTTTCAAGTCGGTATGGCAGTCAGATTGGGCCACGAAAGTCCATAAGACGAAATATGAAAATCGTTAACGAACTTTTTATCTACTTCGACATATGTATATCGAAATATATAGAAATGGTGTCGGTAGATATTAACGATAAATTGGAATAGTTTATATTTAACTGTATTCTGATCGCGATTGAATATTTCCCAGTGTTATTTATTTAATTGATTGTTTATGTTCCTCGTTTTTATGAATTATTGTAATTGCAATTTGCATACGTATTTTCATTTTAAGAAAACGTAGAAACTGCGTAGTCGGAATGTGCTTTCTAAGCATGAATAATCAACGTACTTTAATTTTTGCAAATTTTGGAATAATTGTAAAAATTACCAGATATTCTAACATTCGATAAAATAAACATAATCATGCTTACAACTGTAAGTATGAAACTTGGTGATATAATATTTATAAATTGAATAATTAGTATGTATTTAACGTGTAAGAAGACATTTCGTGATTGCTCGATTTCAGTTAAAAAACAAAAGAATTTCTGTAATTTCAATTCCTACCATAATGGGGGCTATAGTCTGTTCATAACGTTGTGAGTAATATGAAAATGATAATGGGGTTCTGGAAGCCCAGAGTAGACCGAAAAAATCCATTGGATGTAACATCTATTTGCATACCTCGTCTGTGTTTGGAATAATTAAATTCTCTCAATATTTAGTCTTAATTCCAAACACTGAAAGTGCTAAGTTCGAATTCTAGCGTGAACCAATAACTATGAAAGTGATACGGAAATAATAAGAGGGCTTGAGCCTAGAAAAAAGCATTGCATGTAACGTCTATTCGATAACTCGTCTATGGCAATAGGATTATTCTGTGCCTAATCTGTGGTTTCTATACATAGTTTATTGTCTTCTGCTAATAACAGAAATTACTTATCGATAGCAAAAAGTATTCTGTTTCTGCAATATTTCCAAATTTTTCCAATAGAGAGCGCAAGTGTTTGATCAGGCCGGCGTACAGAGAGACGGAAGAACATATGTTTAAGTAGTGGCGCATGCGCAATCATTGCTTCCGCGACGTACCTAGCCATCTTTCCAGTCAAGCAAAAGTGATTGTTTTCAGCTTTAGTCTTATTTAACGGAACTTTTATTAATGTCAGAGCCACAGTCCGCGCTTCTACTACGAAAACAATTAGCAGGTACCGATTAAAAAAAAGAATAAGTGCTAAGTGTGATCCGTGCAGCGCATTAGAGCTCGGCGAAAAGCCGGAACCGTTTTTGTACTCAAAACTCGTGCGACTCGTCACCACCGTGTCTCGACCTTCGAAAATTGCCTTTGTGAACATTTTTTCCCCGCGATATCAGCCTCACCGTGGCCTTTAGAATTTTATCTGGGCACCGGTTAAGCCTTTCGTTATCTCACGGTGGCCCTGCGCTCGATTAGGGCGTGAAAATCAATACGGCTACGGAACCGTAGTGTACCTCCCATGAATAACTTTAACCTAGCATTCAGTATCGCGTTTACCCGTGATAGTACCCTAGCCGAACGTAAACCGTTTTGCAGGTGATTTTCACATACACCGAAGACCGGTTTTGCTGTTACCGAAAATAATCGCAACCGATGTTATTTATAGCATTTCGCGCGTCCCACCGTGCACGACGCGGTTTGAACTAAAAAAAAGACAGAGAAAACCCATGCCCGTGCAACGACCACCGAAGGTCAGCCTTTTTCAAACCCATAGTCTGTTACTTTTGACACAAGATCGACGCCATAAAATCTCCAATATTATGTTACCAACGTCATCGCTTAAACTTCGTTTTTTGTGCACGGATCGACACTAATCGCGTGCTTTGTATTAAGATTTTTACATAAAATATCGTATAAACGCTGACTCACCGTCATTAGTTCGTTGGTGCTGACGGTTATTTAGTACGGTGCGATTTGATTTAACCTATACACATCGAATAACAAAAGTGTTTATTATGTTCTTTTTTTTTCCCCAAACCGACGGTAGTCTCGTATTAACGTATAATTGGTTGTATGTACGTTTAAACCGTTTAGTGTCTTCCGATAAGAAAGTATTTTTAATGTTTCTATATTTTGCTAGTCTATATTTTATGTAGTAACACTTTTATTGTAATTATCGATAAATAATCTGAATTTTTTTTCAATTCGTTTTCTTAACAGAAAAATAACTTTAGTATACAAGAGGAAAGTGCTTGACTTGGGTTTTCTGTTTTCTTTGTAGAATTAAATAAAAACCCAGTAGAAGGGTTTTCAGCAGGCCTCATAGATGACAATGACATATATCATTGGGAAGTACTCATTATTGGACCTCCAGATACATTGTAGTAAGAAACCAATGTATTTACAATGATATGTAATAAAATTCATATAATTTTAAGCATTTTTATAAATATTTTTTGCCTTTTAGTGAAGGTGGGTTCTTCAAAGCACACTTAGAATTTCCAAAAGAATATCCACTTAGGCCACCAAGAATGAAATTTATAACAGAAATATGGCATCCAAACAGTAAGTATCTTTTCGTTAAATTTTAAAACATTTATAAAAAAAAAATATCAGAAATAATACTATATTGTATTTGTAGTCGAGAAAAATGGTAACGTGTGCATATCGATTTTACACGAACCTGGGGATGACAAGTGGGGCTACGAAAAAGCATCGGAACGATGGTTACCAGTTCACACGGTTGAGACTATTCTCATAAGTGTTATAAGTATGCTCGCAGATCCTAATGATGAAAGCCCTGCTAATGTGGATGCTGCCGTAAGTAATATTCTATGTGCTTACTAAAAATTTATGTTATTAATTGGCATTCTAAAGTTATTAACAATAATTATTACGATGCTACAGAAAGAGTGGAGGGAAAGTTATACAGAATTTAAGAGAAAGGTGGCGAGGTGTGTCAGAAAAAGCCAAGAGGAGTGTTCGTAGGAGATGAACAAATATTCAAATGGAAAGACTTATTTAATTCTGGTAAGTTTTATGATATTTGGGCAATGTAAACTTAAATATTTTCTCTTCGCGTTTTGATAATTTTGTCTGTCGTACTTATGTAGGGAAGCCGTAAGCACTGTAAGAAAGAAACCGATGCTCAGCATTAAGCTAATGAATCACAGTGCCACTAAACACGGATTAAGCCTGACCCATCCTAATGCAATGCAAGGGAGACAGAGTATGTGTGAAAATAAAAGATAAGTTCGCACAGCTCTATCAAGTTTATACTACCGCCACTGACGTACCATCCATTGATACGAAGAACATAAAGGAAATACATGCAGCTCACCTTTTACATAATAGACAGCTAAAAAAAAAACTAATTTACACGTATACATAAAGCAAAAAAATCATCTGTATGATTATTATCTTAATACTGATAGTTATAAACATAACTTCCCTGTCCCTCCTGCTCAAGAGCTAAGACCTACCCTTTACACCAGAAATCCTGTAATTTAAAATGTTTACGTTTATCATTGAATAATAATTCCTTAGTGCCGTTTCGTATTTTCTTACTTTCGTAAATATATATATAAATAAATTTTTGTAAAGTCAAATACGTGGTACATATATGCTACAATCGTTAATGTAGTGCCAGTAAAAATGAAAACAAAATATACCTATGTGAATCAACTGTGACACTGCAGCAAAGATTGTATAAATTAAGCTGTACTATCACGGCTACGTAAAGATATGTAAAATTTCCGATGAACCGTAAGTTGCCAAAATAACGAATTCTAATTGAAGTGATAATAATACTAATAACGATATTACTAGAAATATACCATTAATTACAGTTAGTAAACGTAACATAAGATTAGGTACACGCCACAATGACTTTGTATACAATTTTTTTTTCGACCAGTACCAATTTGTAAAGTGATTATTCGACCCTAACTTTTTATTATATCGAAACTTGCGGTTCTATATTATGGATATGTTTAAATTTAAATAATTTTTTGTCCAGCTACATATAATTTCATATTGCCAATTAAATTTTACGAGGTGAAACATGTCTATTGCATTGAACCTGCTTTCGCACATTTGTTAACCATAACTTAACAAATACTATACGATATAATGAAATATTTTCTAATACTTACCACTGAGACAAAGTAATCACTTTTTATACCGTGATTTAACTGTTTGCCTTTGTATAAGAGCCAATAATGCTTTATTTTGAACAGATTAGGATATACTTAAATAAAATTTGTTTTATTTCGTAAAAAAGTTTTTTTCAATCCAATGTCATCGGTTTAACTGATAATTTCGTGATTCGAGTCTTTCGTCTTAAGTTCAACAAGTCGTTAATGATGTTAACTAATTTCAGTCTCTTAGCTCATTGAAAATGCAAACTATAACGTTTGTGAAACGTCGCGTAGTGGATTTTAATGAAAAATTAATTTCCTAATAATTAATTGAACATATAGACAATGATTTCATATGATTTTTTGTAGTATGTTCAATTTGTTCAAAATAGCCTATTTTCAAACCATCCGAAATTAAAGTCGTCGTTTATAATTGTTTTATTTTTCTTGAAATTAAATAATGAATGACAGAATTTTATGTACACATTTTAAATTTCCAATCTTGCCCATTTTTTTCTGTTACTTCATTCTCTTCCCTCATAGGTATTTCGAATGTATTTATTTATTTTTTTAGTTTCTTTCGTATTTTAACACTTCACGTGTCGATAACTTTTCGAATTTTAAGTAAAGTAAATATTCAGTAAATCGTTTTGAAAATGTACAATTTTATTCGATCGCCTCAATGAAAGTCATTGTTAAAATATTCGACGCAGTTTTAATAGTTCAAACGTTATGCTACTTTAAAATGTACTGAATTACATATTTTGATGCCCTTTACAAATTACTATGGAATTACTCACACAACGACAAACGTTCAAATTGTCTTCCATTACAGTGTTAAACATTTATTCATTCTTTTCTTTACGTTACTTGAAACTTACGATAGTAATATAAAGTGTCGTTTAAGAAAATGAACGTGACCTCGATTTTTGATTGAAAAAAACAATTTTACCATCGAAATAGACGTGAATAAATATGACAGTGACATCTTGTGTCATTGCTTACTTCACGACTATTTGAAAAGAATTATTCAATAATATTGGAATATAGATTAATTTAACATAAAACAAATAAATATCTCAATTGTTTTTGATTTCTTTACTTATGACATATATCACATTAATAATCATAGCTACATTTCGTAGGCGGTATTCAATAAACAATGACAATTTCGGTGGTTTGTCCGCTGATTGACTTTGTATAAATTGTCATGGAAACGTATTCTACCTAGGCGCCACATTGTCTGGCCACGTTTACCTAGGGTATAGGCGAAATCGCGAAGTTCAAAATCTTTACAATTTCAAATAATATCCAAGTTTTCTTCTAAACAAATTTAGTATTCCGATTGCAAGAACGTGTATCGTGAATTACGTTATGGGATATAGTTGTGTAGTATCCATTTGATTTCTTTTCTATGCCTAATATAAATTTCGAAACATTTAAATCGACGAAATTAATATACGCTTTCTTATTTAATTTATATAGTGCTTGATTAGTAGTTGAATGAAAAATAACGCTAAAATTGTGTTGCTATGGGTTAGCATTGTTTACGGTGGATTTCATCGTATTTTATTTAATTGACATCGAAAATTTAGACGTGGGTCACGAATATTTTTGGTTTATATTGAACCAATTAATTCCTAAATATGAACGATGAACAAATTGTTTTAACATTGCCTGATACACAAAGTGCAGAGTCGGTATGTTTGACTCAATCTCAAGAGTTATCACAAAAAAAAGTTACAGTCGTATGGGGGAGATTATGTCCCATTAAATTACCTTTTAAAACAATGGGTAAATATTTTTACATATTTAATACTGTTTAACGTATGTTCATCTATGTATATTTTGTAAAATGTATAGTTATATTTTACTTCCGCTGTTTATCAATTATAATTTTAAAATGCGATGTTGCTTTTTGTAATTTGTAACATTTAAAGATAATTATTTGCGTAGAAATGACCAAGGACGTTTATACGCTTGGTCGTTCAGAAAAATGTGATATATGTATAACCGAAAACGAGTTAAAACCAAAATGGCTTAGCGTAATGAGTAAACAACACTTTAGAATAACTAGAGAGTTCATTAATAGTAATATAAATGATGCAATAATATATTTAGAAGATTTAAGCCAGAATGGAACTTTTATTAATAAAGTAAAAATAGGCCGTGGGAAGAAAGTTGTATTGGAAAGCAACGATGTGATATCTTTAGCCCAACCAATTCTTACAGGTAGATACTTTTTATATTTTCTTTTAAATGTAATTATACAATTATATTTAATGGTCGTTAAAACTTGTAACACTGTGTAATGCTTATATTTATAATTTAAACACTTCATGTTAATATTTTAAGTACAATGTAATTTTTAATTATATCTGTCTTTTCTATGTTTGTAACAGTATATATATTTATGAGCACCATTGCATTTGAAAGCAACGATTTGCCTTTAGAACTAAAAAGCAAATATGCAGTGTCCCGTAAACTAGGATCCGGGGCATGTGGAGAAGTAAAAATGGTATTTTCCAAAATTGGATGTAAAAGATTTGCAATGAAAACAATTATGAAACTGGGCGGTGCAAGCGGTCTCAGACATCCACTGAATGACCCAGAAAAAATTATGAACGAAGTGAAAATATTAAAAGCTTTGAAGCATGTAAGCTAATATGGTATCATAGATTATCAAAATTAATAATATTTTATTAATTATTAAATGTTTTACTTTTAGCCTTGTATTATTCGATTGGAAGAGATTGTGGATAGTCAAAAAGCTGTATATATAGTTTTAGAATTAATGGAAGGTGGTGAGCTATTTGAAAGAATCAAAAACAGAGGCAGACTATCAGAAAAGACTGCAAAACTGATCTTTTATCAAGTTGTACTTGCTGTTAGTTATCTTCATGACTCTGGTATAACACATAGGGACTTGAAGGTATTTCTCTTCTAAATATACATTACACAAGATAAGCAGAAGATCATAATTAGAAATAACTCGATAAAATAAAAGGAAGATGTAACATAGTAGAGGTGTACGGGTAGTCCAAAATTCCAGCCCGATATACCGGGTGTTCGGCCACTTCTGGAAAAAATTTTAATGAGATTCTAGGGGCCAAAATAAGACGAAAATCAAGAATACCAATTTGTTGATGGAGGCTTTGTTAAAAAGTTATTAACGTTTAAAGTTCCACCCGTACTGAATTTTTTTCTCGAAAATGCGCAGAATTTCGGGGGTATGTCTATTCACCAAAAATGATTGTAATTGACCCCCACAACCGAATATAATTTTTCCAGAACGATTTGAAATTTTTCGTTTTCGTCGAGAAATTTAGGCATCTTCTCGAATTTTTTTCTTGAAAATGCGTAGGATTTCAGCGATATGTGTAATGGCCAAAATTGATTGTAATCGAGCCCTGCAACCGAAAATAATTTTTTTAGAATGATTTGAAAAATTTTTTTTGTCGCCAAAAAATTTCAGCACCTACTTGAATTTTTTTCCCGAAAGTAGGTAGGATTTTGGGGGTACGTGTATTCATAAAAAATGATTGTAAGTGACCCCCGCAAACGAAAATAATTTTTTCAGAATGATTTGATATTGTTTAATTTAATTTTTTAATAACTTACTAACTTACTGACGAAGCCTCAGTCAAGAAAATGATATTCTTGATTTTCGTCTTATTTTGGTCTCCAGAATCTCCCATTACAATTTTTCCCAGGGGTGGCCGAACACCCTGTATCTCGGGCAACCGAATTGTTTCGGGACCATTCAACGTAATTTAACCCGAAATGTATTGGACGCTACTCCAATTCACCGATTTCTAGACGGCTCGAGCTTGAATTTCAGGCTACCCGTACAACCCTATAACATAGTAGATAGATTTATTTCCTGCTTCCCCTTAGGGTTACACTTCCTCCCCACCTTACATTTCCATCTCTCCCTTAACCTAACTTATCCTACTTATCCTACTTATTCTACTCTTACTCTACTCCTCACTGCCCTTACATCCTCCCCCCGCCGCTTTTCCCCTCTCTCTCATTTCCTTTCGCCGCACGCTCTTATCCTAATCCTACGCTACTCGCTCTCTCTCTCTCTCTCTCTCATCTCCCTTCTCCGCACGCTCTTAGCCTAACCTTACGCTACTCGCTCTCTCCCTCTCTCCCTCCTCCCTTCTCTCCCACTCCTCCACCCCCGCTCGCCCTCCCCGCCGTCGACTTCCATTTCCGCCCTTGCATTCCATTCCTTCATTCACTCCTCCCCTCATCCCCCCCTTCCCCCCTCTCCACCTCTTTCTCTTTCCTCCTGACCTCCAGCCTCTTTATCCACCCCTCCCCTCCCCCTCCCTCGTCCAAAATCTCCCTTATCCTTTCCCCGATCCCCTTCCCCTCTGCCTCATCCCCCGTACATCTCTCCAAAACGTGCTCCCATGTCTCCTCCTCCCAACCACATACCCTACATCTCCTCTCTTCCTCATCCCCCCAGTACCTCCCCCCCCTCATCTCGTTCCCCATCCTATACCTAGCTAGCCTTCCATACCTCACTTCTCCCCACCCTGCCTTCAGGTACCCCGGTAACTCCCGTCCCACCAACTCCCTGTACCACCTATTATACCTCGACTGCACCACTTTTCCCCATCTCTCCTCTTCCTGCCTCCTCCCATCTTCCTCCTCCCATCCCTCCCAGCCCGCTCGCCCACTTGCCCCTCCCTCTCCTCCCCTCAATCCTCCCAACCCTCTACACCCCAACCTGTCTCTCTCCCACGCCGACAATTCCTCTCCCCCTTCCCTTTCCCTTTCCCTTATCTCTTCTAGGCACCACCTAGCCAACTCCCCTCCCTCTCCCCTACTCAGTTTCTCCTCATATCTCCCTGCCCTTCCCCCCCCCTATAACATAGTAATATTTTTACTAAACATTTATGTAACGTAGCACGCAGAACATTCGAACTATTAGATATCTTATTAAACGTTAGTCATTTGAATAATCGATTCTTTAATCGTTTTAAAGAATATATTTTATGTTAAATTCAAGCAATAAATGAATATTATTAATTTATAGCCAGAAAATATATTATTAGCTAGTGATTCGGATGTTACATTAGCTAAAGTATCAGACTTTGGTTTGTCGAAACTAGTTGATGCACAAACTATGATGAAAACGTTCTGTGGAACGCCTATGTACGTTGCACCAGAAATATTATTTAATACTGGACGTGGTTCTTATACGAATCAAGTATGTACATAAAAGTGTATACATTTATTTATTCAGAAAACCAGTAACCAAATATTGGAAATTGTAAAATTTCATTTTTTAACATTTTCAATATCCAGGTAGATGTTTGGAGTCTAGGAGTAATATTGTACGCGTGTTTAAGCGGTGCAGTTCCTTTTAATTGCCAAGACAAGAATGTTAGCTTGCAAGACCAAATAATGAAAGGATATTATAGTTTTCCTGCTTCAAAATTTGGACACGTCTCTGAGAAAGCTATAAATTTGGTATAAGCACAAAATTGTTTAAATATAGTTTTATAATGAGAAATTCTTTTAATTTCTGGCAATTTCATTCTTTTAGATTAAATGTATGATGACGGTCAATCCAAGAAAACGGATTACCATAAAACAAGTTTTGTTACATCCTTGGTTACAGGATCGTGACCTTCGAGACACTATTGACAACTTATTATCGAGAGACGATCAGGAAAATACAATGCCTTCAAGTGTCTCGAGGAATTGTCAAGTCAACAGTGAATACAAACGTATACTAAAACGAGCGCGACTGGATGCATAAGTACAAATAATAGAATTAAGTAGTAATATATCATCGATAAAAATTTACTTTCAGAAATTTCTTATTTTTTTTAATATTACGTTTACAAAATACAATAACACAATTTCGAACTTTTCGTAATGCTTTTTCAGAAATTAATGAGTTGCAATCTATTCGCTATGTATTAAGCGATGTATGCGCGATATAACCTGAATAATTTCCAGGCCAACAAAAAAGTTGAAAAATATACCATAAAAGATTAACATTTTAGTTCATAAAGTTGATAAAAAATGAGATTAAAAGTAATTATACTTTCAATTGATTTAACTAACCAGTAAAATTATATTGTTATTAAAATTAAGTTACATTAACTACAAAGATATTTAAGAACAAAGTATAGAATCTAAAACGAATACCAAAATGTTACTTAAGGAATAATTTTAAGAAATTATTTTTGTACTTTTATATGTTTACATGCTTCTTGTCATTAAAAGTTATTTGTATAGCGATATTCCTCCCCTACTTGATTTTATGATTAATGTATAAAATGTAATTCGATAATTTTTTCATTTTATAGCACGCAAGATCTTGCGTGTAATCAAAAATACCGGTTTATGTACAATTACGAGACGCCTCAAGAATAATGTTTCGTGGATCACATTTTCTTTTCTAGTAGCTATTCTTCCTTGCATTGATATATTTCTTCACCGTTGCAAGGGTTTGGAAGTGGAGTCTCCATTTCCGGTCGTTCTTTTTTATAAAGTCCCGCTAACAAACGCTTTATTTGAGCTATTGCTCTTCCCGGATTCAAACCCTTTAAGAAATTGTTGATGCAATATTGAAATATAAATTACTGGAAACGTTTTAGTTCTCTTTTGTTTTCTTAGATAATATTTTATACCTTTGGACACGTTTTTGTGCAATTGAAAATAGTGTGACATCGATATACCGAATAAAAATCTCGTAATTTGCTGAGTCTTTCTTTATGTGCCATGTCGCGTGAATCTATTATCCATCTATAAGCCTGCACAATAAAAACATTATTTTGCGTTAAACCTATCAGGTATCACAGGTATTAAATTTTAATTCAACGTATTTGTTATTCGTTGAAACTAAGAATATTTTAATGTTTTTTTAGGATATACCTGTAAAAGAGTAGCAGGCCCCAGAAATTTATCACCAAGCCACCAATACGGTGGACAGGCAAAAGTACAGCATCCACAAAGTATACATTCATATAAACCATTAAGTTTATTTCTATCTTTTGGACTTTGCAGAATCTGTCGTAAACCGATGAAATTTTCTTCTCCAGGACGCTTTAAAAATGGTTCGACATTTTCATATTGTTTCAAGAATTGTTCCATATCCGTTATTAAATCTCTAATTACGTATGAATGCGGTAAAGGATATATGACTATTGGTTTCGATGATTTCGTTACTTTTCTAAAAGCAAAGGAAACGGTTTCATACATTGTATAAATTGTTAGATAGTTAACAGTAAACAAATAATTATAAATAATCGGATCAAAAATGATATCTATCCATATAGAGTGTCCCACTTAATTTAATCATTTTCAGTAATACCGATGTTGTCGATGATACGAAAAAATATCAGGGAACGAAAATGTTTTGTCCGCGGGGGCATATAGTACCACTACTCTTTTTGTATACCTACATTTAGCAAAACATAGCATACGTGATTCTTACTATTTTCAATTTAAAAAAAAAATATATGTACATAAAATGGTTATAAATATACAGAATGTTCGGCCACCTCTGGGAAAATTTTAATGGAAGATTCTAGAGGCCAAAATAAGACGAAAATCAAGAATACCAATTTCTTGATCGAGGCTACGTTAAAAAGTTATAGAAACATTTCCGGCCACACAGTATATTTTTGGTAAAGAATTTTGTTCTCGAAAGTACGTAGAATTTCGAGGGAATGTCTATTCACCAAAAATTATTGTAATTGAACAGCGCAAAAAAAATAATTTTTCCAGAACGATTTGAAATTTTTTAATTTTGTCGAAAAATTTGTCCACCTTCCTGAATTTTTTTCTCGAAAGCACGTAGGATTTTGGGGGTGTGTCTGTTCACCAAAAATGATTGTAATTGACCCCTGCAACCGAAAATAATTTTTCCAAAACGATTTGAAATTTTTTTTTCGCTGAAACATTTAGGCACCTACCCCCTGTCGATTTTTCTTAAAAATTCGTTTTTGATTTTTCATAAATTTATTTGACGCTCTACAGAAAAGTTGTCTAATACTTTTATGTAGGTACCCATTAGCAATACTTCAGAAAAAAATTTCATTGAAATATATTCACTATTGTAGGAGTTAAGGCCGTTTGAAAATTGGACCATTTTTATGGGGTTTTCCTCACTTTACGGGGTCAAGGAACAAGTTTTCGAACATTTTTGGAATTTCCACATATTCTCCATCAAAATACGCGTAGTTTTACCTTTTGAAACATTAAAATCCTCCAATCCATTCAGGAATTATGATGTTTCAAAGATTCGCATGCGGGAAATCATTTCAAGCTTCAGATTATAAATGTAATATAAATAAAATTTTAATGGGAGATTCTAGAGGCTAAAATAAGACGAAAATCAAGAACACCAATTTGTTGATTGAGGATTCGTTAAAAAGTTATTAACGTTAAAAGTTCCGCCTGTAGAACGGCAATCTGCGAACAGCTGCTATAGTGGTTCTCACTCACAAATCTGTAAGGCTGCCGATACGTCAGTAAGTAGAGTTTCTCATGCTGAGTGAGAACTACTATCGCATGCACTCAGCTGTTCGCAGATTGTCGTTCTACAGGCAGAACTTTAAACGTTAATAATTTTTTAACGAAGCCTTAATCAACAAATTGGCATTCTTGAGGTGGCCGAACACTCTGTATATTTTACAAATTATACAAACGGTTTTTTCTTTTGTAAAAAATTCCCGACAAGAGTTTAAAAATTGGGATAACCTATATATCGTAATTTCGTAGTAACGAAGAAAGTATTTTCAAATTGACATATTACGTGACGCAAGCCAGGGTGTTAACACCATTTATGTTCATCGAACAACATCCACAAATTCCTTCGCGACACGATCGTCGGTAAGACAACGTGGGATCGTGTTGTGCTTTTATTAACGTCAATACATCCAAGACCATTGTACCGCATTTATTTAAATCAACAGTGAACTGTTGCATGTATGGTTTTATATTTGGCTTTTCTGGATTCCAACGATATACCCGAACTGTCTGGAGATTTGGTTTTTCTTCCGGTTTTCGTTCCTACGTATTAATTAGTCATACAATGAAATTGTTCTGATTCTTCAATAAATAGTGGACAGTATTCGATGTTAAAAATTAACCGATGTTATGTTTCGTAGAATTTTGTAATTTTATATAGAAAGTGGAAAGAAAGTGGAATGTTGGACCAAAGGTATTTTCTGGATAGAAGAAACAGAATTAAAACGTTTTCGATCACTAACTTCTGGAGGTATTTTGCAGTCTTTAACAACGGCGACCTCGGCGGAGACTACATCTTCACTTTCAGTCGATTTCGCAGTTTTCTCATCACTGGATAAAAATCTATGGCATCGATGATGACTATTTTGACACGTGCTTCGACGAAGAGACAAAACCGTAGAAAACCAAAATTGCCTCGTCTGATTGACGATGTTGAAATTGAACATATTTGTAAAAAAATATTATACGCGAGATCTTTCGTAAATATGTCAGATTATAAGGGCATGTTTTGTTTGTTTAATCTTTCGATCATTCTGTTTTTACGATGACCGTGTAATACTTCGTTGAAATGGAAACAAAATATCATCGTCCGATAAAACTTCACGGTCGTTCGTATCGAGTTGAAATAACTTGAACAATGTAAATAACGATTCCTAGATATTTTAATTTATATGCCAATCTATTTGCCAAATGTTCTTCTGGACTAACAATTATTAAACGTTCCAAAAGTGAACCATTTCATTCTGTACAAACTGCAGAAATGTAATAACGAAATGAAGATAATACAAATTATAATTTTCTATTTTGCAAATTAATTAGAAAAATCGTGTCTAAGATATTAAATTTAATTTTATTTCAGAATTTACTGTCTTCAAAAATTGAGACGTCGGGAACGATCGATTCGTTATTTGATATATCCATTTACTCTTGATTATTTTCATTTCGTTAGAATTTAAACAAATTAAACATAGTAAGTAAATGACGCAAATGATCTGGCAGCCATTGTAAAAACATAAAAGTTAAAAATATTGCTGTAATAACAGATATTTTCTGCTATCTTGTAAACATGTTTTCTTATTACTTATATATTGTTGGTCTTCAAAACGTTGACAAGAGATTTTTTAAGGAATGTAAGAACCTATTACCTATACGAAACCAATAGAAGTAAATGTATTTCTATTAATCTCTGTTCGGTTTTTTTCTTTTTGGTAGCAAATTACGTTTGCCTGTTTTAAGTTTTCCTATATGTTTATGTGCTGTTGGCGAACATATGTATTTCACAATAAAAAAAAAAATGGTCTGCAGATATCACGAACTGTTTTGAAAGGTCAGGAGTCATCGCTCGTGATATGCGGGTTATAATGGATTAACCCCTGCGAAGAAGCAATCTCCATTACACGAATGGCGATACATCAATAAATACTCATTAGCGGTTGTTCTATGAAATAGGAAAAAGTCAAAGTATCTCGACCCAGTGATGGACTTTCGTGGGATTTTTCCCTCGCGGGATTCCTTTCTGCACATGCGTAAGCTGACGTCACAGCTACATGTCGTCCGCTGCCATAGATGTATCTTAAGCGCAAGAGGAGGTGCATGTAAGGGGTCTGTTGGGAATCCTAACATTTTTAGTTTTAAGTCGACTAAAACATATGAAATTAATTTGATTTAAATGTATTCGGTTAATATTGATAATGTATATGTTTCCAGTATATAATTTTATATATTTTATGTATTTGCGTGTTTCACGTTCATTTTTACGTGCAATATTTTTGTTCGAATACTGGTAAGGTTTTCTGCAGTTTTCCTTACCCTAGCAACAAATGTTGGTGTTCATGTAATGAACCGGCTGCACACGTAAAAACTAAATAAATAATGAATTGTTTTCCACTTTTTATTGTACATTTATGCTGTTTTCCTTCATAAAAACTTGTCTCTTTCCTTGTAACTTCCTTAAATTTTGTTCCTTACTGGGATCAAACGGTACCCTAAATTCTAGTTAAGTGTATACGGCAGTGAGAACTGTAGCGCTCGCTCCAGTGCGCATGATCAGGAAAATCCTACGAAAGTCCGTCACTGTTTTGACCAATCTTGTCTGTACTTCGTCACTACCTGTTGCATCAAGAAACAAATTTTTCAAATACCACAAATTGAACGAAAAACCTTTAAGCGCGTGAAGCATTATCAGAAGAACGTGAACAAGGTAAAAGTAGTACGTATTATTTAAAACATCTATTTTTCTCGGAGACAAAAAAACCAATTTGATTTGTTTTACGTTTTTAAAACGAAGGTCATAATTTTGTTGAAGTAAATTATATTATAGAAAATGACAATTTTATAATTTTGATTAATAGAATAATTAGTACTACGAAGAATCTTGTTAACTTTGTAATTGCTTTGTACTATTTCATTGTATGTAATGATAAACTTTATATCCTTTAGTCACTATGCAGTATACTGTTTTGGTTATTGGTGGTGGTGGTAGAGAACATGCAATTGCCTGGAAACTTTCACGGTCTCCTTATGTAAGTATTTTAAATGTAATAAGTTAACAAATATCTTATCGATAAATAAGTATTTAAGTAAAATGTAATGGTAAAACTTCTGCATAACTTTTTCGGTATAACTTTTTCATACTTACAATTGTGTTTTAAATTTGAATTATTGTTTAGGTAAATAAAATATATGTTTCGCCTGGAAACACTGGAATTTCATTGGTTGATAAGGTTGATTTAGTAAAACTAAATGTAAAGAATAACGAGGTATGTTTTTTCACTCTTCTACCATTGTTTACTTTTGAAACTTGAAATATATTAAAACTGCACTAAAGTTATACATTTTGGTAGGAAGTAGCACACTGGAGCAAGGAGAACAATGTAAATTTAGTAGTTGTCGGTCCAGAAGAATATTTGGCAAATGGATTATCGGACCAATTAAAAAATGTAGGAATTGATTGCTTTGGGCCACAAATGGCAGCATCTAAAATTGAATCTGACAAATATTGGGCAAAGGATTTTATGGACAGACACAAAATTCCTACAGCGAAATGGAAAGGATTTACAAATGCGGATGAAGCAAAGCAATTTGTGATGAAGTAAATATAAAATTTCATTTGCAGATAAATTATTTAGAACTGTTACATGTGTAATGATTTATTATAGTGCACCATTTCCAGCACTTGTAATAAAGGCTTCAGGTTTAGCAGCTGGAAAAGGAGTTATTGTAGCAAAGGATCAACAAGAAGCATGTACAGCGATAGATGAAATTTTAACAAACAAAAAGTTTGGATCTGCTGGAGAGTCGATAGTTGTTGAAGAGCTACTCGAGGGTGAAGAAGTTTCTGTACTAGCATTTACAGATGGTATACAATATAGGATATTCTGAATAAAAGACTTAAAGGGGTATTTTTGTCTAAAGCATTAAACCAGCTTTAAAGCACTGGTAAAATGTTATCTTTCAATATTTTTATATGAAAAAAATTGTGCATACTTTTTAAATATAGGCCAAAATCGTGCGACCAAATCCGATACAAAAGTATCATAGTTTTTTTTTACTTTTCAATTCCAAAGAACACATAAAAACTTAATGTCCAGACTAGAACATCCCCTTAAATTTTATTCTAATATGATATTATTATTAAGGTTTCTTTCATCGCAGGAAATACTGTTGTACCAATGGCACCTGCACAAGATCATAAAAGAATATTTAATGGAGATATGGGACCAAATACTGGTGGTATGGGCGCTTATTGCCCATGTCCCTTATTACAAACAGAAGATTACGAAGTAGTGAAATTAGATATCCTTCAGAAAACCATCAAAGGCCTTAAAGAAGAGCAAATCCCATTTGTTGGTTCGTTTATATTATAAATAGATTAACCCCTTGAGTGTTGCGTTTTATTTTTTAGATGCATCGTGTTTAATGAGTTCGTTTAATTATTTGATAGCGAGACACCCTAGATATACAACATAATCGCTCGAGGGGTTAAAGCACAAATTAAATCTATTTAAACTGTTCGTAATTACAATATTACATTCAAAAATTTAGGTGTACTGTACGCTGGATTAATGTTAACAAAGAATGGACCCAAGGTTTTAGAATTTAACTGCAGATTCGGAGATCCAGAGACACAAGTGGTGTTGCCATTGCTGAAATCAGATTTGTTTACAATTATGAAGGTAATTACTACTTTAGCACTGCTTCAATATATTAGTTTTTTATCGAAATTAATTTAACGTATACTGTCGCTTAGGCTTGTTGCGAGGGTTCTCTGGTTGAATCTCTAGTCACATGGCAAGAAAATGTATTTGCTGTCGGTGTTGTTTTGGCATCTCGCGGATATCCGTCATCATCATCAAAAGGCCAAGTTATAACTGGGGTCAATGACGTTTTAAGAAAATCGAACCATTTTGTTTTCCACAGTGGTACAAGTATTTCTCCCGAGAAAGAATTGTTGACTAATGGTATGATTTTAACATAAATCAACTTATATAGAAATATTACAAATAAGTTACAGGCTACATAGACTTTACTTGTTTATTAGGAGGAAGAGTTCTGATTACAGTAAGTTTAGCATCCTCGTTGGCTTTAGCTGCCGCCAAAGCAACACACGCTGCTCAAAGCATATCGTTTGAAGGAAAACAATTTAGAACAGATATAGCACATAAAGGAATTGCAAGGTACATTAAAACGTCGGAATAAAGAAATTCCGTGACAGAATTTTCATTCAAATTCTAAGATTGAGTAATTTGTTACTCTTAATTTTTTTTAATGTTAATGAATCAATATTTTCAGATCTATATTACATCACGGACAACTTACATATAAAAGTAGCGGCGTGGATATAGCAATGGGCGATTCATTAGTTTCGGCTATTAAGCCATCAGCATGTTTAACACAACGTTTGGGCACGTTGGGTTCGATTGGTAGCTTTGGTGGATTATTCGACATAAAAGCACTGGGGTACAAGGATCCAATTTTAGTATCTGGCACTGATGGTGTCGGAACTAAATTAAAGGTACGAATGTGTGTTTATATCGTAACTAAAATTTTCTAAATGTTACGGATCGGTTTATTTCTACAGATAGCATTTGAATGCAACGTACACGATACAGTAGGTGTAGATTTAGTAGCTATGTGTGTAAATGATGTTCTTGCACATGGTGCAGAACCATTATTTTTTCTCGATTATTTCGCCTGTGGCAAGTTGAATGTCGATATAGCCAGAGATGTTATAAACGGAGTAAGCGAAGGATGTAAAAGAGCTGGATGTTCATTGGTAAGTGTTCGAAATATAGATTCTTGATAATAGTTTTCAACCTTCGATTAGGACGAGAAGGAAGAAAAATCATTTTTTAGTGTCGTCGATAATTTCGAAAATATTCGAGTGGAATCGATTTAAATTGGTCACTCTTATACTTTTTAATACATCATTTGATGGAATCTATGGCACCGCTGTAGCTCTTCTAAAAACTGTTATTTGTAGGTCGGTGGGGAAACAGCAGAGATGCCCGATATGTATTCCAACGGAGAATATGATTTAGCAGGATTTGCCGTAGGCGCGGTAGAAAGGGACAGATTACTTCCACGTATAAATGACATAAAGCATGGTGACGTTGTAATTGGCCTTCCTTCAAGTGGAATACATAGCAATGGATTCAGTCTTGTTCGAAAAGTTTTGAAAATAGCAAATAAAAAATATTTGGATATAGCACCTTTCTCTGAGAATAACCAAACAATTGGTATTTAGTTATTTATTACGTTCATAAAAATAGTTTATCTATACTTATTATTATACATTATAGGCAATGAACTCTTGAAACCGACAAAAATTTATGTAAAAGGAGTAATTCCTGCTTTGCAAACGAATTTGGTAAAGGCATTTGCACATATTACTGGAGGAGGTCTTACAGAAAATATACCAAGAGTTTTACCGAGAAATATGGGAGTAACATTGGATGCGACTAAATGGAAAATACAACCAGTTTTTGGTTGGTTAGCAGCTATTGGTAAGGGAAGAACTAACAATGCGAGAGTACGGCCAACTGCCCACCGATTTTTATTTAGATTTATTTATTTTATCCAGGTGGCATAAGCAAAGAAGAAATGTTAAGAACATTTAACTGCGGCATTGGCGCTATTTTGATTTGTTCGGAAAAAGATAAAGATGAAGTTTTACTTAAACTGCAAATGGAAGATCCTAAAGTAATTGGATATGTAAATAATCAGAAAGGTATGTTCTATTCGATATCGTTTGAACAAAACTTTTGTATACGATACATTTGCACATCATGCATACTAATTGCACAAAACATTGTAGACAATCAAATTAGAGTGAATGTTGGAAATTTTGAAGAAGTCTTGGAATTAGAGATGAAACGATATGTACCGGACATCGTAGTGGGATTAAGCAAGCCTTTAAAACGAGTCGGTGTTCTCATATCTGGTAGCGGTACCAATCTGCAGTCGCTAATCGATGCAACTCGAGATCCAACGCAACATATTGGTGCAGAAATAGTCATAGTAATATCGAACAAATCAGGTGTTGAAGGACTTAAACGAGCTGAAAAAGCTGGCATTAAGACAGTTGTAATTAATATTTTTTAATTTTTAATTCCCTATCACAGAATATTTACTCGCTATCTTTTATTTTATTTTAATATTTGATAACAGGTTATTAAACATACTGACTATCCTAGTCGAGAAGCTTTCGATTCGGCGATGAATGTTGAACTTGATGCTGCTGGAGTTGAAATAATTTGTCTTGCTGGTTTCATGCGTATTTTATCAGATAGTTTTGTAACCCGATGGCGAGGTGCGTTAATAAATGTGCATCCTTCGTTGCTTCCATCCTTTAAAGGCGCGTGTGCACATAAAGATGCGCTTGCAGCCGGTATACGTGTCTCAGGATGTACGGTGCATTTTGTCGAGGTATAAAATATTCTTGATAAATTGATATAAAAACTATATATTAAATACTTGTCAAAGATCTTATGTGTTTAAAAAAAATTATTTTTAGGTCGATATAGATTCCGGAGCAATTATCGAGCAAGCAACAGTCCCCGTATTACCACACGATACGGTAGAGACTCTTCAAGAACGAGTGAAAACAGCTGAACATCGCATATTTCCCCTTGCTTTGAAACACTTAACCACAGGAAGGATACAATTGAAAGAAGATAATTCCATTGTATGGAATTATTGAACTCGAAATATTTTGTAACTATTTTTGTCTACAAGTATATATGTATATTTTTTACCCAGTTATTGTGAATTATTTATCTTTATTCATACATAATGATACCTAATTTTCGTCGCACATTGTGCTCAGAGTTTCTCAGTGCTCTGTATATACAGAATGTAAAAGAACTATATTTTATATCTTATGAAGTCTTTTTATTAAAAATAGAAGTTATGATTTCGAATATTCCTTTGTCATGTTCATTAACAGATGAATTCATATTTTCGTAATTTAAACGTTTTCTATTTACTTTTTCTGGAGGTATAGAGAGTGCTTCTTCTGCAAGATTTTCTAATTTAATATGACACATTTGTTTTTGAAGTATTGGTACTAATAAATTGTATTTATCTATTTTATTATTTACACGTTTTGTTGTAGACCTAAAATCTTCTATAACATTCTTCCAAGATGCTTCATCTTCAAGACTCAATGGAAGAGAACCCACTTCGTTTCGTGCTTCTTTTAACCGTTTTCGTAAGTATTCTGTTTCCTCTCGAATTTCTTTAGATAATTGTATCCATTCCGGAGTAAATCCGTTTTCTATTAGTACCTGTAATTTAATTACAGGCATATTGTATTTTACATATAAGGTATTACCGATTTTAAAGACAATATTTCCATCCTATATATTGCAACTTTGTTATCATGTTTCATACCTCGTTCAATTTATATGTAACAAAATCAACATATGGGTTTCGGGTAATCATATTTTCTTTCAAAGGTTTACCCATGCCTGGTAGATCGTTAAATTGACCCTGATTCATTGCTTCTTGAATTAAATCTTCTACCAAACGATCCATACCAAAACGTGTTTTAATGTCTTTAGCACGTTGTTTATCTTGTCCAACTAATGTATTACGTTCCTCGGCTTGCAACTTTTTCAACCTATGCTCCATGACATTATCAACTGCTTTTTGAGCTCTCTCTGCTGTATATAGTTTCTGTCTTTTACTGTATGTTCCAACTCCTACATTATATGTTAAATAATGTCGATGTTGTGGTGCTGTATGCTAAAAAGTTAACAGGCATAAATTAGAATTATCGGACAAGCAACAGATATGTGTGTACATTTATTATAGTGTATATACTTTAATATCAAATTCTTCAACATCAGGTAACGTTGCTTCTTTTTCTTTCTGCTGCACTCTCGCCTTACGAATTTGTCTATAAGCATTTTCAATCTATTCAAAACAAAATTGATATTATTAAAAATAAATTGTATTATTTGTCAATTATTTTCATTGTTAGTAGAGCAATTAAAATTTGTTGTTATTTTGCCTAGCTTGATTCAACAACAAAAATAATCAAAGTAGATAATTTATATGGCTTGTTCCATATATTGTATTAATAACGAATAGCATATACGAATAAATATAAATGCTGTTATACCTCAGAAAATTTAATTGCATTAGCTTCAGATGTACCGCTATCTGGATGAAACCGTTTTGCTAGGTAAACAAATGCCAATCTTAGCGTTTCATCCTCACAGTCTTCCGAAACCTCCAATGTTTTGTACCAGTTCTTAAAATACAATAAAACATTTGATCTCAATAATGTAATGTATATTAAAGTATCCAGAAAAATAATTCCAAGCATAAGCAATACATTTTTAAATTAAAATACCAATTAAATTTTAAATATACAGACTTAGACAAAAGTTACATCAAATAGAGAAATAATACCTTCATATTATGTTGATGTTTATATCTTTTTACGACCATGAACTTCGAATATGGAATACTGGGTAAATGTTCAGTTGATTTTCCATAAAACCCATTAAACTTTAACATGATTCTTAATAACCCAATACTGCAATGATCATAATATTTTTTTACGATTACATAATTAATTCAGGTACTGTATGTACATCTATGTATGAACTATTGCGAATAAAAATATCACTAAAAATAAAACTAACCTAGACAATTTTACAGCCAATAATATTTATAAATTATGCTTCATAGGACTGTAATTTAAATTAAATTTTGTATGTAAGCCGAATTTTATTGCAGCATTAAACAATTTTTAATCATGATAAAAGTTACATATTTTGTTGAAAATGTTATTAAACGTCAATGACGTTAAAAACACACGTGAGTATGTACATATGTAAGTAGTTACATATCTGATACTGCATTATATAACATATGATACATGACAACTATAATACGTATAAAAATCTTTATTTACAAATAGTGAAACCAAGTACGTATAGACATACTGACTACAAATATGCAATAACGTGTAAAGTATTGAAATAAAAATTTGGATGAAAGTGGTAAACAGAAATTAAATTATTCATAATAATTCATTAATATTATACATAATATATAATCCGAGGACTGAGCTTTGGATTCAGGTTCCATAATAATGAATCTAAATTAGAGGCATAGGAATAAACAAGGCATTAATTTTGAAAAAGTTATTTTTGTAGCGATATGTATTTTCCTGTGCAGGTATAGCAAAATCGATAGGTGGAGGAGTAGATGGTACTATTATGTGAAATTGATGAAAGAACAGAAAACGTTGATAAAAAATTATGAAAATTTTTAACTGGCATTTATACGTCATGTTCGTGTTTTGATCGCGATAGAATTTCATCCAACAACGTTAAAACTTTCAATTTAAATTCCCGCATCTCGGTGTCCGAAAGTTTATTAACATCGGGAAGCAAACTGATCAAAAACATTTTTCGATGATCATCCGTCAAAGAATTCTTTGCTTTTTGTTGCAAATACTCTACAAACAATTTATCGATTTCATTCGCGTACGGTTTTAGTCTTTTTCTGTATCTTCGTGACTCCGGATCTTCTTTAAGAGTTAAAAGAAACGGTTCTTCCATTACATCTATCTCCGTCCCCGTTTCATCTTGTTCTTTTACTTCTTGAGATGTTTCGGTAACCGAAAGAGGCGGATGATTTCCGGAATCTTGAGCGTGAATCACAGGTTTTACAAATGGTAACAAAAATTGCATAATATCGTGCAAATAGTATGGTTTTTTTTGTTTGGCACGGGATCCGCTTGGTATTGCTTTCAAGCTTCGTACAAATGCGTTTCGAATGTTCTTCCATTTTTCTTTACATTCGACAACTGCAGAAAACAAACAATATTAATAGAATTAAATAATAAATAAATGATATCTCTTTTATGATGTTTGGCATAAAGCAAGATTGATCAAAATTTTATTCGAATAGGTAAAATTTTTATCTGTCCATTGCAAAATATTTAATTCTATAATTCGAACTATTATTGTTGTTCAAACAAGTAACAATTTATCTTCTACAATCTAAAATAAGACGAAAATCAAGAATACCAATTTGTTGATGGAGGCTTTGTCAAAAAGTTGTTAACGTCTAAAGTTCCGTCCGTACTGAATTTTTTTCTCGAAAATGTGCAGGATTTCGGGGGTATGTCTATTCACCAAAAACGATTGCAATTGACCCACGCAACCGAAAATAATCTTTCCAGAACGATTTGAAATTTTTTTTTTTCGTTGAAAGGCACTTATAATTAGATTTTTGGTAAAGAATTTTTTTCTCGAAAGTGCGTAGGATTTCGGGGGTATGTGTAATGAACAAAAGTGATTGCAATTGACCTAACCCCTGCAACCGAAAATAATTTTTTTAGAACGATTTGAAAAATTTTTTTTTCGCTGAAAAATTTCAACACCTACCCGATTTTTTTTCTCGAAAATGGATAGGATTTCGGAGGTATGTGTATTCACCAAAAATGATTGTAATTGACCTCCGCAACCGAAAATAATTTTTCCAGAACGATTTGAAATTTTTGAATTTAGTTGTTAATAACTTTTTAACGAAGCCTCCATTAACAAATTGGTATTCTTGATTTTCGTCTTATTTTGGCCTCTAGAATCCCTCGTTAAAATTTTTCCCAGGGGTGGCCGAACACCCTGTATGTGTGAACAGCGCCCCCGGTAGTCGGATCTATGACTTTCAACAGCTGATATCTCAAAAACGAAACTCCAGATTGCAAAATGGTAAAGAACAATTGTTTTCAATACAAATAACTAATAGCTTCAAAGGAATTCTATGGTGCCGCTTCTGTGAATTAAATGTTCTCTTTTCATACAAAAATTAAAAAATCCATATAACTAATATTGTATTCGTTTATTTTGTTAATTAAGTTTATGTTTCTATAAATTAAACTTTAATTAAATTGTGTTCGCATTATACATGTCGCCGTAATGGTATTAGTGGAGTACAAAGGGTTAGTACTTGAAAAAATGAGGCCCCTTCGATAGTGAGGCCCGGGCCAGTAACTCCTTTCTCCCCTCCCCTCTCCCTCCCCCTCAAATTCGTGGCTAGATCTTCTACGCTAATTTTTTGACTAGTTAGCCAATTATGACAGTGGAATTTCTGTATTTACAATTAATAATATAGTTATACTTACCAGTCCATTCCATTTCTATCGCCACTTCTTTCCACGCCTTTTCTGTAATATCTTTCTTTGAATATTCTGGTAATGTATGATTATATAAACACGGGTATTGTTCAATTATTTGTATAAAGGGCGTTACTTCACTCATTTTTCTTTAATTAATTAATGTCGTGAACTCTAATAACTATTGTATTTAAAAATAGACAGTGGAAGGAACAGGTGTAGTAATGTACGCTTCGCTACCAGCTGTGTCGTACGCTGGACGCCGCGACCACGATGAATAAAGATCGCGACGCATGACGCCACTTCGTGGAAGGGCGTGCATCGTTTTTACACTGGGTGCTGCAGAGAAGCGTACAGCAAGTGATATCGCGTTTAAAGGTGACTCAAAATCTGAATGTGAACACCAGCCAAGCGTTTCAAAGTCGGAGTCAGGAACAATTTTGTTCGGATAATAGATAATCCATATAAACCAACCTATAGCAATTTACTCGTGACGTTTATTTGATCGAACAATTATATTTTCATCTGTTCGTTGTAAAATATATTACACTATAAATGACACTTATATTTTTATTTAACGAGTAGCGGATTGACAGTTGTTTATATTTTATTCTTTATTCGAAATTTCTATCCATTCCGTTTTAAAATTCGTTCACACTGCATCTTTTTTTAACAAAGCATGTATGCACAAGCGTGAATATGACATTAATTATTTGTTCGATAAAAATTACAATTTGAATTATGAAATGAAGTTATATTTCATACGAAACGAACGGAGGCTCGTCTGAATAATTATTCAATGAAATAAACGTGACTGATAAATAGCTACTTGGTATTTATATTTGTCATCTATTATTCGAATTGAATTCTGTTCATTTCTGGATGAACTTCGTCCGGATATTTGGTTCATATTTTGACCAGAGATGCCAGACGGAGCCCCGGGTGCACCGGGGACACCTCACTCCACTTTCTCACACTATGCTAGATCACGCGTACGTGGAGTTTCGGAAAGTCGACAAAGGCAAACTGACACATGTCCTCTTTCTCGATTCTCCGAAGCTACCCGAAGCAATTTCGGAACACCTCGTGGGAGCCGAGAGAGAAAGGCTCACATTTGCCTTCTCGCTCTAACAACTGAAATCCGACCTCCCTTCAACCAGTGATGCCAGATTGAGCACCGGGTGCACTACTCACACTATGCCAGATCACGCGTACTTACGTGAGCTCGTGGAGTATGGAGAGTTGACAAAGGCAAACTGACGCATGCCCCCTTTCTCGATTCTCCGAAGCTGCCCGAAGTAATTTCGGACCGTCTCGTGGGAGTCGAGAGAGGAAGGCTCCTTTGCCTTCTCGCACTTGAACAACTGAAATTCGACCTCACGTCGAGGGCATACGATTCCAAGTCTCGACTGGCCAGGTATTTTTTATTTTCCGACCTATGTATGTAGACGAACATAAGCAAGATACTATAATGAAAAAAATTTTGTGAAATTTTTCTTACGAAAATACACGTTTTAAGACCCCCCGATCATATTTGAATTATTGAAAAAAAATAAATTCTTTTTTATTATTCCTATGTATGAGCGTACATATGTATATCATTTCAGATATCACATCTGCTACATCTGGCAACGTATAACCATTACTGCTGGCTACTGCCAGCCTCTCACAGCCTCTGCTGGCTTCTGCTGGCCTCTGCTAACCTTTGCCAGCATATGCGGGCTTCTGCGTGCCTCTGCTGGCCCCAGCTGACCACTGCTGACCACACCTGATACTTCCGACAACGTATAACGATTACTACTGGTTACTGCCAGCCTCTCCCAGCCTCTGTTGGCCTCTCCTGACCTCCGCTTATATTTCTGACGACGTATAACAATTACGACTGACTTCTGTCAACCTCCGCTGGCCTCCGCTGACCACTGCTGACCACCCCTGATGCTTCCGACAACGTATAACGATTACAACTTGCCACTGCTTGCCCCTGCTGGTCTCTGCTTGCCACTCCTTGCCACTGCTGGCCTCCGCTGGTCTCCGCTGGCCTCTGCTGACCACTGCTGACCACCACCGATGCTTCCGACAACGTGTGACGATTACTACATGTTACTGCTTGCCCCTTCTGGCTTCTGCTGGCCCCTGCTGACCACTGCTGGCCACTGCTGGCCTTTGTTAACAACTTCTGACATGATGTATATATATTAAAGCTTTGTATAATGTAAATCTATGGTAATAAATGATATAATTTCAAAGAATTCTATGTGTTCTCATCATTTTTACCTTTCTTTTCCTCTCCAAATTATTCCCTTAGTTATAAGTAGACTGCGGATTTTTATGCAAATTCATATGTTTATTAATAAAATTAATAAAATAAGAGCTTCGTAGAGGGTTCTTTCAACCCCTAAATACAATAATTCTTATCTTACTTGAGTTTTTGTTATATTTTTGCATATTAAATGCATTCTATAGTTTTTTGACAATCTAAATTTCCCATAAATGCATAAATATCCGCAGTCTAGTTATAAGAAACCGTTTCACAACACATCAAGCATAATACATAAAGTACGGATTGCACAGCTATCTAAGACAAAAAGCCCAAGTTTGTCGTCTTTTCGGTGTCTGCGACGCTAGATGGCACGCATTTTTCGACCTTGTAGCCGTAATAAATTAGAACATATGTACGACTCTTTTGAATATCTGGAGAACTCCGAGTTTATTCTTATAACTGTTTAAACAAACTACTAGCAGTCTCCTAGCGATCAAAAACAAAAAACATTAACATTAACTTTTTCTTATAACAACCCTCACTTTAACCCTTTAATCGGTAAAGTAGAGCTCAACCTCGCAACAGAAAACGCACCTGTCGCCACAAGGTCGGTAAACAAGCGCCATCTAGCGTTGAAGGTAACGAACATAAAAAAAATTTCTTTTTTTTCAATAATTAAAATATGATCAGGGGGTTTCAAAACGTGTATTTCCGTAAAAAAAATTTCACAAAATTTTGTTTCCATTATGGATATTTGCTTATGTGCGTCTACCTAAGTAAGTCGGAAAGTAAAAATGCCTGGGCAGTCGAGAATCTCGACTCCGAGATTTCAAATTATATGCCGTTGAAGGGAGGTCGGATTTCAGTTGTTAAGAGCGAGAAGGCAAATGTGAGCCTTTCTTTCTCGACTCCTACGGGGCGGTCCGAAATGACTTTGGGTAGCTTCGGAGAATCGTGAAAGAGAGCATGCGTCAATTTGCCTTCTGTCGACTTTCCGAAACTCCACGAGCTCACGTACGCGTGATCTGGCATAGTGTGAGTAGTGCACCCGGTGCTCAATCTGGCATCTCTGGGTCTGAATATACCCTAATCTAGAGTGCGAATACTGTGAATCGACCAAGAATGACAACACAGAGGGCACCACGTTATGATAGGTAGCAAACACCTTGTAAAGCAGAGATGCCAGAAAAGCACCGCCGGGTGCACACGCACGCATGCCAGATACGCGTACGTGAGCTCGTGGAGTTTCGGAAAGTCGACAAAGGCAAACTGACGCATGCCCTCTTTCTCGATTCTCCGAAGCTGCCCGAAGTAATTTCGTATCGCCTCGTGGGAGTCGAGAGAGAAAGGCTCACATTTGCCTTCTCGCTCTAAACAACTGAAATCCGACCTCCCGTCAACGGCATACGATTTGGATTCTCGAGCCGAGATTCTCGACTGCCCAGGCATTTTTACTTTCCGACCTATGTAGGCGCACATAAGCAAAGTATCCATAATGAAAAAAAAATTTTGTAAAATTTATTTTACGGAAATACACGTTTTAAGACCTCCTGATCATATTTTAATTATTGAAAAAAAAGAAATTTTTTTTTATTCCCATGTATGAGCACACATATGTATATTATTAATACGATTTTTGAAAATCAAAATACTTTAAGATTGAAAATTAATAAATTAAAATGAGATTCCACTCTTTACCAGTATTGTGCACGCTGTGGTATTTTTCAATAAGAAGAGTTCTTACTTTTATAACATAAACAAAACAGTAGAATTAATAATTGCAGAAATTAATTAATAATGATTTTCCTCGATTGTTTTGAAATAACCGTATCAATTGGTTATGACGAACTAAATAGAACTAACTAGAAACAAAGGAAAAGTGATCCCGTTTGCCAGTTTAATACAAAGTATGGGTTGTATCTTAAATTTTAAAAGGACATAGTCGAATATTTTTAAAGGTACAAAACATAGCGTTTCATTGTAGAACAGTAACATAAGTTAGCAGGTAATGTCATAAAACTATTTTTCCCAGCTATATCCCTTTTTACCTGAAGCATAAGGTAAAAAGTACGAGCTACAAGGTACGACTATCCGAAAATCGTTCACATTTTATCAATGTAAATGAAGCGGCCTTTCCATCAGAGTTAAATACAAAATTTTGTAATTTCTGTGAAAACAAAACTTTCAGTAAATGTACGTGGTGTTTGAAATTTTTATGTTTTGACTGTTTTTGTGAAAAGTACCATCCAGATTCATGTACTTCGTACATTGAAAATAACATATGTTAAATGTAATCGGTTAAATATAACTTTAAAAAAAAATATTCGAAGGTCAGACAAAAATATAATGTCACATTTAGTGTACGATTAAAATATGATTGAAAAAATAAAAGAAAAGGATTTGTTTTGGCAGGGTTTGAACCTGCAGAGCAGAAGAAGCTCGGAACTTGCAGGCAAATACCTTGTCATTCACGCCACGCTGATTGTTGAACGTATTTCTATTTTTGAAGATAAGTACCTGTAATAACTTTAATAATATCTCAAAGTAAAACCTAACCCAAAACCTGGTACCATTCCAACTTTTCCTTGTTAGAAACGAGTTTTCAATTTGTCTTAGCGAAAATCGCAATCACATTTTGCACATTATTCTAAAACATTTGTGGTATTCGTTTTCAATGCGATTTAAGTAAGCATGTAATGTATAAGATTTCATTTAATGTTTTCTTTTCTAGAGAAGATAGAGAAAAAGTTTATATAATTTTTTTTATATAAAATTTAATTCGTCCTAAGATTTATATGAAACATTTAAAAGATTTTTTATACATTATGCCTATATATCGGAACAACTATGAAACAAGAGGTATAATCTGTAAGGAGTGTATGCGTGGCTAGGAGAACCGTTATCGTTTGCGTCGATAGGAGTGTTTAGTCTAAGCTAGAGTAGGTATCGAGTGAGGTGTTTAGGTTTAAGCTGAAATACGTTTTAGAGACTGCGTCTCGAACGTGCGTTTTGTTTAGATCATTATTATAAGATAGGAATAAGGAAGGGTCGACTTTGACTGCAGGAACGTCACTCTGTATCGAACGTTAGTCGAGAGCAATCACAGTTTTACGTTTATGATCTTTTACGTTTACGTTTTATGTCTTTCTTTTATGTTCTTTATGTTAAATAGTTAGTAAATATTAAATAATATAATTACATCGTTACGTTTAGTGTTCACGTATTTGAATCCGTCCACACGCCTTTGAAATGAGAACATAAAACTTAAATGTAAAGTTTCATTTAAATTCATTCAGCTATTTATATTCAATCGTATTAATAATATACATGTGTGCTCATACATGGGAATAAAAAAAATTTCTTTTTTTTCAATAATTAAAATATGATCATGAGGTCTTAAAACGTGTATTTCCGTAAAATAAATTTTACAAAATTTTTTTTTCATTATGGGTACTTTGCTTATGTGCGCCTACATAGGTCGGAAAGTAAAAATGCCTGGGCAGTCGAGAATCTCGGCTCGAGAATCCAAATCGTATGCCGTTGACGGGAGGTCGGATTTCAGTTGTTTAGAGCGAGAAGGCAAATGTGAGCCTTTCTCTCTCGACTCCCACGAGGCGATCCGAAATTACTTCGGACAGCTTCGGAGAATCGAGAAAGAGGGCATGCGTCAGTTTGCCTTTGTCGACTTTCCGAAACTCCACGAGCTCACGTACGCGTATCTGGCATGTGTGCGTGTGCACCCGGCGGTGCTTTTCTGGCATCTCTGGGTTTAATAGATCCCTTTATTATATGGGATTTGCAACGTTTTGACATTGCTAAATAATTTGTTTGCTTTATGCAATGAAAACAAACACTTTCCTCTCCCTTCAAATTTTATAATTACTATAAAACTCTTACCAGACTTAAAAATAAGGGTTATGGATAAAAAGGTTGGGAAAATGTGGGAATAGTATGATATTATGAAAAATATACCTTGTCCTGTATACGTTAATTTAAACGCACACAGTGTCTTCAGATTTAACTGATAAAATTATTTCACGTCCTTTTTAAAGAACATTTTGCCCATTTATTGTTTCATATTCTTCAATATATTTTTATTTTGATTAATTTATTCCAAACCTTTGTTTTCTTTTATTTACTTTTACACTGTAGAAATGTAAAATGGGACATTGTTGTTTATACACATACATAAATAGTAACTTCTCTTGTACTTGTGTCTAATCAAATTTATTTCAACCTTGTCACAGTCATGTGGTTTTGTTCACATGAAGTCATTTTGAGAGTTAAACGTAGTATAAAAGCATGCATTCGTTGTTAGATAAAAAAAGAAAGATTATCAGATTTCGTCGGATATTAGAAAATATCGAAGGCGTTTTCAAAAAGAAAATGGAATCTAATGTCACTGTCCTTATTTAAAATGATCGAGAGGCAATCAGTTTATAATATACAAGTGATTGCAGAAACAGTAAAAACTCACTAACGTACGATTAAAAACTTTATTTTATTTTGGTTTGCTTCGTAATTGGGAAAAATATATATAATGTTGCGTGTACCTGTAGGAACTTTGGGCTACAGATTATGTCTGGGACAATTGTCGTTTGGGTAACATGCTAATTAGAAAAAAAAATGAATGAACTTAGAACGTGTCGATACGTTACCAACGAACAAGTTGTGAAAGAGATTTAAGAGAAAAAGAAGTAGCTTAAACCTACGCTAAGGCTGACGCCTCGTTAATTCTAGACTTACACGTTGGTAACAAATGTGGTATAAAATATGGTATTAGGTACGCATTATACGTTCCTCTCTTCAATGAACGACAAAAATACATGAAGGCTGAATGTCCGTGTGTATCTCGCATTGTGGTCATTAAATGCGATGTCGTTTTACCATAGTGTATACGGTATTAAATGGAAGAAAAGAGAGAGACGAAACAAAGTGACAGGATTATAAAAACACTCAAGTAATCTATAACATAGATCTTTTTCAAAATATGAAGCTGACCATGAGACGAATTTTACGCATGGCACACGGTTAACCAACTTTTGAAAATCTGACGCTGAACAACCCTGCTAACATGTATAAAATTATATACAGCATCGCGAGATATAGCATTTGTGCTTTGTTCCTCGTTACAAGCGTACGCGCCAGCTATTTCTGGCCTGTTTTCTTTCCTTTTTTTTCTTTTTTTTTTGTTGGAAAAAGTTGAAAATTCTCTCGACTAGCGTACATTGTACGTCATGCGTTGGTTAAAATCTAAAAAAGTATCTGATACATGAAGTTGTTACGAATGTTTATATCCAACATGAATTATATTAGGAATCCCTTGAACAATTTGTCCTTTGGAAGATACACGTTAAATGCTTAATTTCAGCAGGGTTAATACTCGCTCTATTGGTCTCGATGAAGACTCTTGCTCGTTCGGTACTGATAACGAATAAAAGCAACGCGACGATTACAGTGAAGCAACGACCGTTTCAACTCGAATCCCGATCTTTTCTCGTCAAACTGCCCGAAGTTTAATGCTTTTCGCTGTTAACTTAGCGATTCTCTTCTTTCATGAAATAAAACTTATCCATTTACAGGTTAAACATATTTGAAGATTCTTAAAAATATACACTGTTCTCTTAACGTTTTTCCTTTCGTCTTATCGTACTCAATACAAGTTATTTTCTTGGCCGTTCCTTTTTGACTAGATTCATTCTCAGTTGAATAGGTATTTAACCCGATACCACGAGTACGATGTTTAAATCGATACGCGTTCGCTTTTTTAGCCAGAACACACTTCTGAATGTTCGTCCCATGCAGCAACCTAAAATGCATAAATTTTAACGATAAATGAAATATGATATTTTTCGAATTATAACATTATAACATTCAACAAGTTCTTTATTAAAAATGTTATATTTAATTTGTTTATAATACCTGGCATTCGCGGCTGCAGTACCATTGATTTCCGCAGCCAGCACACACGAACTGGGCTGCACGTTCACGACACCCTTGACATCGTGGAGGGCTATCCCTGTCCTCTCTGCCATCCCTTCCACCCGAGGAAATGCGTGTCTCCCTATCTTCGATCACTGCTGATTCTTCTTCAACGTCGTCCTGTAAAGCAACAGGCGAAAATGCAAATTCACCGTGTGTTAAATTTATGCGAATAAATGGTTGGGGTCTACCCCACAATTCTTTAATCTTTATTCGCGGGTGTGGGGTGGAGCCACACGTGGGTTAAGGTTACAATTATACTAGGACGTCTTTAACGCGTTGACTGCCGCACGCATTTTACGTGGTTTGCCCATGGCGCCGCGTATTTTTACTATTGGTCGCGACGTCGGTCACCAGTGACCCCCACGGCGCTGTAGCCAAGTCGAGTGCCGGCCACCGGTGACCCCCACGGCAGTCAACGTGTTAACAGACTGCGCACGTGAACGCCACGACGTCTTTACCAGACCGAGCCTATGACAACACCGTCGTTAACCGACTGGGCCTCTTTCTTCAAAACTCTCATCCATATACAGGGTGGGGCAATAACTATTAGCACTTCAGATATTTCTGAAACTATAAGTTTCACAGAAATATTTGCTGAAATAAAATTGCACAGTACGAAGGGGGCCATCTGGTGGCGATGATAGTTTTATTGCAGGCGGAGATACTTCGGACATTTGAAGGTCACTGCAATTTTTTTTAAATGGATCGGTATGTTTTTGTTTCTGTATCATGATAGAGGATTTTAAAACGAGTTCAACGACCTATTACATAAGGTCATTGGAGATCATAGAAAGTAAAGAAAGGCGATAATATTTATTGACGCTTATGACCTTATTATTATCAACTTATTGACGCACAGGTTGCAATAATTCGCTGTTGTATGTCGTAAGTTGTAGTTGGTACTTCTTTGTACACTTTCTCTTTCAGTGTTTCTCACAGAAAGAAATCTAGAGGTGTTAAGTTTGGTGAACGAGCTGTCCATGATATTGGACCGCGGCGTCCAATCCAACGATTTCGAAATTTTTCATCGAGTTCCCTTCCTGCAATCAATGAATAAAGTGCTGGGCATCCATTATGTTGATACCACATGGTTTGTCGTGTAAGTAAAGGCGACTCCTCTGGCAAAAGACTCAATACATCCTTAATAAAATTAGCATAGATGTTGCCATTCAAATTTCCATTGAAAAAATAAGTTTACAATACGTATGTTTCATTTCCTTCAATGACCTTATGTAATAGGTCGTTGAACTCGTTTTAAGATCCTCTATCATGATACCGAAGCAAAAACATACCGATCCATTTAAAAAAATGGTGGTGACCTTCAAATGTCCAAAGTACCTCCACCTGCAATAAAACTATTATCGCCACCAGATGGCCCCCTTCGTACTGTGCAATTTTATTTCAGCAAATATTTCTGTGAAACTTATAGTTTCTGAGATATCTGAAGTACTAATAGTTATTGCCCCACCCTGTATACATGGCCTTACCCTAACAGTAAAGGGGGGAAAAAGAGACAGGACAGAAAGACGGAAAAACGAAACTGGAAAATACTTAGCGTAGGGAAAGTTTAGCTACAGTGAAAGAGAGTAATAAAAATCAAGAGGCTCGCCCGGATCGAGGTGGAAAACAGGCGCCTCGTACGGCTCTGGTCGCCAAGTGTTTAACAGGACAACCAGGCTCGCACGAGACCCTGGGATAATGGAAAAATAGAAAGCTTAAAACTATCCTTACATTCCATTTATACTATGGCAAGGGCGTAGTGGCTATACATTGACCGCTACAGTTGCAACTAACAAGGAGAGTAGCCCAACTATCCGATTTAAATTTCATCGAATTTTTGTAAGATGATATAATGTGGTGTTTACTAATCAACTGACAAAAGTTCAATGAAATCGAAATCGGACAATTACTCTATTTATAAGGGTCCTTGTAAACAGAGTTGAGCAAAACGTGATCTGATCACATTTGCCACGATACGATTACATGTAATCACACGGAAATGACCGTTTAATTACAGTGTAATTATAACTGTAAATCTTTAAAGTACATAAAAACTATTTAATTATCGTGTGATTATATGTAATTTAGTGAAAAATTTAATCAGATAACATTTTTCATAACTCTTTGAGTAGAGTATATCACTTACCACGTGAATTAGATTATTCGAGTGAGATTGGACCGGGGTATTGACAACCGGTGTTATTGTTATTTCCGTTCGAGCCTGAAAATAGAAAAATAAATGATGAATTAATTGTCACGATTGGCGCCGCACCACTGATTTGTGACACGGATAATTACTGTTTTATAGAAAAGTAAAATACCTTGGAAGAAGACAGAAGGTCGCTGATAGAAACCGGATTAGAACCTTGATATGCCTGCAAAAGGTGCTGGGTTGCCGCACTTTGCTGTGGCATGGACGCGGCTGATGGTGCATTCCTTTCTCTTTCAGGTGCGGTGAGTAATCTAGCTAAAGTAGGTGAAAAAGTTGTAGGTCTTGGAGATTGTGATTTCGTGAGAATTCCATGGAGCAACGAACAGCTCTGTTGAGGTGGAGTATTTGGCGGTGCCGGGGACGGTGCAACGGGATGAAGCGTCACATCCGGATAATTTTGAGGCGTTTTCACGGGTTCACCTAAGCAATTTTACATTTGCAAAATTAATTACCTTCAATGGTATCTAAAACGTTTCGTTTACTTCCGTTTTTGAACTTGAGATCAAAGCTAATACATATTTATCTACTTAATATTACACTTTTCCCTGAATTAATCGACAGTAACCGACAATGAAAAGGAACTACATATTGCTACTACTAAAACAGATACGAAGCAGATACAAATTTGCTTAAATGGCACTTGTACGATTCATTATATATACCTTGCTGTTGGCTCAATTTAGCAAACTGCACAAGCACATCCTTGAAGCTCATGGAATTAGGATCTGACATATTCGGATTGCTTTTACAAGAATCTGTACTAGATGGCCTTGAATCAACGCTGTGCCCTGTTTCAACCATGGCTCCACCAGCTCCGAGGCCAACGTTCACCGAATTTCTCATTCTGCGACCCCTACAATTCAAATATATACGATTTTATACAATCACGTTTCGATTTTATAAATCAACGTTTATTCTAATTTTTCGAAATCCATTTAATTTAATTCGACACTCTATATTTACTGACACTATTATCTCGTAAGTAATGTGACATTTTTGGCGCAAATGTTTTCAATCATTCTTGTACAATCTTCTTTATCTTTCTACATAGTTCTATTCTCTTCTTTAAAATACTTTTAACCATACTTATACAACGGAACAAATATTGAGTTCTTCCTGGGGACTTAAATGAAACCTATCGTAGCTTATAAATTTTGTTAAGCTGATCACGATCTTGGCATATAGCGAAAATGATATCGAGAGAGAATATTCAAGCAACTTGCTGGACAGCAGACTACAAACAAGGGAAACTCAAAAGACATCCCATATTAGATCTTCCACATCGTTTTTCCAGACAATAGAATATATACTAATAGTTACAAAAGTACAGAGGTGCACATAAAAATTTACTTAGAATAGAATCATCACTTTTCCTAGACGCTGTAAAAATCTACAAAGAATGGCTGGTCTCGTTTAAGTCCCAAAATTGGGTTGAATTGTGTTACCTGCGTGGAACTGTTTCAGGGTGCCTCAGTCTGTAATCAGCGATAATGGACCTAACATCAACGATGGCACCTTGACGGCCCTCGCCGATCTGCCTGTTTTCTGGACTGAGCGCCTCAGTTTGTTTCCGACCATTTTCTCCACCTTGTTTAGGAGGCGTAGATTGTCGTTGCGATGATTGTTTCCCGAGTTTCTCTTTTTTAAAAGCCGGCGAGTCCCGCGAGCTTTCCTCGGGCAAATCCTCCTTTGAGTCAAAGTTCAATTTTTCTTTGGATACGGGAGTCGTGTTACCGCTACTCTCCCATTCGGGTCCGAGGGCCAAGCTCGCTGGTGGTAACGTATCCGACAGCTGTCCGTTGCCTTCCATGAATCCCATTACTTGCCTCCTTCTTTCGATCCTCAGGTACGCCTCCTCCTTGAGCTTTCTCATGCTCAGGATTTCGTTCCATTCCATTTCTTTGGCACGTGCTAACTCATCCAAGGCCTGCGTGCAAACAGAAACAAACCAGACGTTATTGGGACACAAATTCATCAAAAATATCTTCGTAGTACAGTAATTTACCGTTTCAGTACCAGAAGCAAGGATAGGGTTGTTAGAATCTCAGCTTTAAAATGGTTCGAAATTTTTCAGACTAATTACAAGATTCCGAATCGTTTCTTGAATATCTTGATTAACTGATGCTGTGTTGAGTTCAATATTCTTGAGTATTTATCTAATTTCTTGTATTAGTTGGAGCCAATAATATATAGTCACCCACAAAAGTATCCGGTCATAAGGTGGGCGGATGCTTTTGTGAGTAACTGTATAGTGGATCGGAGCAGAAGAAAAATGGCGGCCGCGCTGCTTGGTACTCAAACGGTTAAAAACAGGTACGACGAGGTTCGATTGATAACTAAGGGTTTCAACAACGTGACTGTGAGAGTAACGGGAATATAAACAAATGCATAACAATGTCATTTATCATGAGTTCGATTTCCGGTGTTACAAGCATCGATCAGCGATAGAATTTTTAATGTTGAAAAAATTACACCCTCGTCAGACTTATAATTATTCCCAAAGTTGATGAAGGTATCGAAAGTTCAACATTCTTCATCGAATATCGAAGTTCGAGTTGCTGTTTATAATGGGATCAAAAGTAAATCAGAATGTTTCTTAACGATTTGTGAATTTTAACAAGGTTACAAAAATAAGTATCGTCTTTCCACGAGAAGAAGGCATAGCGTGTTTACATCCCCACTTTTGCTGCAGTTCGCTGATTGGCTGTCACCGATCTTCGTCACCGTTTTCGACTAATACCTGTGAGTCAGCGGACAGCAACAGGAGTGGGGATATAAACACGTTGTGCCTTCTCGTGGAAGGACGATACTGAAACAAATTTTAGGTTATACCTAAAAAAAATATTATTAAATAACGATTATACAGGGTGTTCAGCCAACCCTGGGATGAATTTTAATGGGAGATTCTAGAGGCCAAAATAAGACGAAAATCAAGAATACCAATTTGTTGATGGAGGCTTCGTTAAAAAGTTATTAACGTTTAAAGTTCCGCCCGAATTTCGGGGTTATGTTTATTCACCAAAAATGATTGTAATTAACCCCCGCAACCGAAAATAATTTTTCCAGAACGATTTGAAAGTTTTTTTTTTCGTCGAAAAACTTAGGCACCGAATTAGATTTTCAAAAAGGAATTTTTTTCTCGAAAATGCGTAGGATTTCGGGGATATGTGTAATGACCAAAAATGATTGTAATTGACTCCCGCAACCGAAAATAATTTTTCCAAAACGATTTGAAATTTTGGAATTTAGTTGTTAATAACTTTTTAACGAAGCCTCCATCAACAAATTAGTGTTCTTGATTTTCGTCTTGTTTTTGCCTCTAGAATCTGCCATTAAAATTTTTCCCAGGGTTGGACGAACACCCTCTATAAAAAAAATGAATATGGTACGCGCAAAGTACAATAAATTTCCTCTATTGTGAGATCAGTTTCATCGATTCCTCTTATCTAACGTACATTTCATAGGACCGGAGATCTTGGTTATAGATCGACCCAAATTATCAAATTGATATCGAGCGATCCTGCTCACCTGGACTTCGGCTCGAAGTTGATCAGCCCTCGCGGCAAGTTCTTCCGCGGTAACTTTTTCACAGCCAACAAGAGACGTTATATATTGCTCCCTCTGTTCGAGGCAAGACTTCTTCGGGGTGGAATTCCCGTTCGAGGACAACTGTCCGTCCGTTGACTTTCGTTTTCTCCCGCCACCGATGCCGACGCCTTCAGTTTCGGTTTTCGGGCAACGCGAAGCCACGGGTTTCTGTTGCGCTGTCTCCGCGGACGACAGGTTGGTCTTGGTCGTTGCCTCCGACTCCGAATCACAGAGAGGTTCCTTTTTTATCGATGAAGATCGGAGACATTCCACCGTCGCGGGCGCCGCGGCGGTTTCCTCCGGCAGAGCAGCGCCATTCTGCTGGCTCTGCGGTACTTTCGGCGAAGCCCTCGACGAATCGTCTTCCCTTGTTTTCTCGGCTGAGTCCACCTTCTTCCCGTTTCCGGCGGTACCTTCCATCGCGTGCATCTTGTTCAAACTGCAATCAAACAAATAAATGTTTCATTAACATTTTTTAGCGCTCTCTGGATGGATGCTTCGACATATCCCTAAACCGTGATCCACGGACCATCATTTTTTATAAAGATGGGACGTTCGAAAGCTACATAAATAAAAAATTAAATAAATAATTTTTATTATAAAATATGAAAATAAATTATTTTATTTAAAATATATATTTATATTAAAAATTAGTATTTATAAATAATTTAATAAATAATTTTTGAATTTTAATTAATATTGATTAAAATAATTTGAAATTTAAATGGTTAAGTGAATATTTTAAAATAATTTTTTAAATTAAAAAGTATTGTAAAAGTGTTAGTACATATAATAAAATGTTGCTATATTCAGAGTAATTTGTTCAACCGGCACTTTGAACTTACAAGTTGTTGAAATATTGTTTACAATGAAAGAACCTTAACGTAAAATTGTAAATAATGCTAGTTTAATTTAGAATATTGTAAAATAACAAATTCACAGATTTAATTATCGAATATTTCTGTGTTTCAGGCTATAATTTAAACAAATGATGAGGACATCTTTGGACATGGGAAACTAATGTGGAAATTTACGTGTAGAACATCTAACGAGGGATTGAAGTTATCAGAAAAATGTTTTTACAATAGTTGTTTGATACAGAGGGAGATATTAGGTGGTATAAACAATTTTCCTGTAGGTTTTATGGTGGGGAGAGATATCAAAAATCAAGTTGAGTTTTTGAAACGAGACCTTGTGTCTTTTTATTCGCAATATAGATTATTAAGAAAAATACAATGACCTACCGCATGATATAATTAAAATGCAGTAACATGACATAAATGAACAAAACATTAATTGTGCATTATTTAAAATCCTTAAGCAAAATGCACAAAGTAACACACGATTATTGTTTTTTAACTTATAGTTTGTATAAAATGTTACCGTGTTATAAAACAGTATAATATATTCGAAGAATGAACAATTTAACAAGATACTTCAAATTTCGCGATTACCATATATCGTTTGTTCAAGATATTTAAACATTCCACTGTCATACGTTTACAAACACTCGACGATACGCGTAATTGAAAAATTTCAAGTATCTCGTATTCATTTTTCGGACATCTTAACCTACATTTTATACGCAGAATAACTTGAAAAATTAATTTATCGAAAAAAATTCATCAAAAAGTGAAAAAATAATCCTAACCTATAACAATAACCTAACCTCTCCGCCTGTAACTTTCTCTCCATCGTCAACCATAAGAGAAATACGACCCTGTAGAGTTCGTCGCTAGGGATTTGTGGCGCTTAGACCTCGAAGACGTTACAGACAGAGTCTTTTAAAGTTTTATTCTTTTGTTTATCAGATATCCCCGAAGTCTCTTTATCTTTCTAAAATACACAGTTTATCGAGGATACAGTGTATGTATATATAAAATACGATAACATGTTTTTGCCCGTAGGCATTCGACGGATGTACACACTTTGGTATCGAGGGGTAAATTCGTTCAAAACGATGCATTCGTTTCGAAATTTTAAACAAACGAATTAGATTATGCGTCGACCGATGAAAAATTAATTACAAAATGCACGCCTTGGAACGATCACGCTGTTAAAGCGTCAAGTCAGCTTGTGAAGTTTGCTTTGACCTTGTATGAAAAATAATTGTCACCGAACCGAAGGACGAATGGAAAACGCCTGTGCACGCGTACTTGCATTATCATTTTCATAACGCCGTGTACACAAGCGTTTATATCGTCACTTGCACGAAGGAACGGTGTAATTAGACCAGTTCCGTGAAGGACTTCTAATTCATTGCAACGAATACATTTAAGCTTTTATATTGTAACGGCAAGGCGACTTAGAGATGTCGATCGGCTTAGAATGGAGTTAGACAAATTTGTTGATACGGTGACACGAGTTAGAAGACGTAACGAATAATAACTTCCAACCTAACTGTTCGAAGAAATAGATTCTATTTGCTCGTTTCTCACTGTCCTTTTATCATAAGACGTGCGTTACCCCCACCCTGTGGTCAAAACCTTCAGGAGAATACTTTTATCTTTTTTATAGAATGTATTATCTGATTCCTTGTTTTTAGAACATTATACAGGATGTTCGGCCACAGCTGGGAAAAATTTTAACGAGGGATTCTAGATGCCAAAATAAGACGAAAATCAAGAACACTAATTTGTTGATAGAGGCTTCGTTAAAAAGTTATTAACAATTAAATTCAGAAATTTCAAACAGTTCTGGAAAAATTATTTTCGGTTGCGGGGGTTAATTGCAATCATTTTTGGTGAGTAGACATACCCCTGAAATCCTACCCAGTTTCTAAAAAAAAATTCCAGAACGTGTGAAATTTTACGACGAGAAAAAAAAATTTCAAATCTTTCTGTAAAAATTATTTTCGGTTGCGGGGGTCAATTACAATCATTTTTGATGAATAGACATACCCCCGAAATCTTTATATCGAAAAGTTAATAACTTTTTAACAAAGTCTCCATCAACAAATTAGTATTCTTGATTTTCATCTTATTTTGGCCTCTAGAATCTCCCATTAAAATTTTTCCCAGGGGTGGCCGAACACTCTGTATAAACAGTAACACGCCTCAAAGATTTCAATGACCTTGAGACGTGTTGCCAAGGTCAATTCTCTGAGTAATCCTTGTTTCCTTGTTTACTTTCGGAGATACATGCAAAAATATTATCAATAGCAGGATAAGTTTGTATTTAGTTTGGTATAGGTTTAGACCATGTTTGAGTTAGGCGTGACTTGGTTTATTTAATCAAATCAATTAAGTGATGAAATATAACACTAGAATATCATCGCAAATTGATTTCAAAGATTTGCAACTATCGTACACATTTTTAGGACTATGAAATTTTTGATTTTACTTTCAATTTTCATTTTTATTCAACGACGAAATTCACTAAATAAAAACAGAAAAGCAAAATGTACATAAAAGAAGTATACTAAGCAGGGTAAACGAGCAAAGTTCAGAGAATAAGTATATTTTAGAAGCTAAACTAAACTTACGAGTTATGACCCACATTAATTTTCCTATGTTCGCGTTTTACACGAAAGTTTTGTTGTAATGTCTGAATTTTTAAAGTTTCTTTCTCATTATCCTAAGTATTGTTGTCCCCGATTACATGAAATTAAATTAGACCTGCCCGATTTCATATAACAGGAAACCAATCAGATTACCAGTAATTGAAATCATCGAATGAAAATAAAAATTTCAATATCTTTTTGCAACTTTTTCATCGGAGTATTACTAATGGATTGATGAGGTTTTCCAAATGAAAATCAGTTCAACACACAGCCTCGTTGGAACTGTTTTTAATTACACGTTATTCGAATTATTTTTGACAAAATTACCACACAATTCATCAATACTACTGTCACGAAGAAATAATTAAAAATATACATTTTACGTAGTTTATATATTATAGATACAGCGTTTGGAAAAATTTTTCGAATTAAATATGATGATTACGTAGAAAAATAAATATGTACGTTTGAAGTACAATAAATTTAAGGTTTCATTAATTCCTTTTATTTCAAACGTATGGAAGATTTTACTTATCGTTCGACCCTCATACTTATGAGACTTTAAATAACATTAATTTCATTGAGAACGCTATAAAATGGCAAGTACACAAATTTCTGTTTTTCATGCTAAAATTTGAGGAAACGTAGAGGGGATTCCCGAGCTATGGAAAAGAAACGTGACAATCAACGTGTTATAGTTACTTGGTTTAACGAATGTTGTTATCTCTTCGAACTCTAGCCATTTAAGTCGATCAATATTCGGACGCAAATGAGTTCGTTAAAACCGTGGATACTCCCACGACGATGACCCAGGGTGGTCTTCGCGACGTGTGCGTGATCATCCTGCGTTTACCCTCAGCATGAGGCACGCTTACACCCGCACTAGAATAGAAGGTGACCATGCAGTGGGGTTAATACTTTCGCGCCTTCCATGCGTTACATGGAAGACTGCTTACTTCAAAGAGAAACCGAGAGAGAGGACCTCAGTACCCTGTTAACGCAGTTTCCGACATTTGCAATCGAAATTAAAATTAATATTACAAAAATAAAACCGTCACTTGCAATGCATCGTAACTTGTCATTTCAAAATTCCTGGATTTGAATCATAAAATAGATTGGTATACTTATAATATGAACAGGGGATTCAATTATACCGCTTTATAATAGTTCACGATGTTCGTCGTCCATGAAACTGATAGACAAAGTAGTAACTTTTGACCTAAGGTATCACAGATAATTTTTCATTACATGTATTATACATACATAGCTCTTTCTACGTTTAATAATTGCTTGAATGTATCATAAGTAAATGTCGAGTCAGGATTAATAACATAGATTCATACTATGACTATACAGAAATTTACACGACTAAGAACTTAATTTCATCGGTATATACAAGACTGTTATAGTGGAAAATTAGTACAGACAATTGTAGACGATAATTCTATTACAAACACAATTGAACTTCTAAAGAAGGAATAGAATCTTATTTTTGAAAATATTGGTGAATTCCTAATATGGACGTGTTATTCTTTATAATATAATTTCTTGTATGAAGAACTAAAGCTTGCCCAATTTTCATTCAAATAGTGAAGATAAAATAGTTAAAAAAATCAAACAAGTTAAAGAAGCACTCTATTGTATTATTTATGTTGTTACTGTTGACCAGTATATTAATATTTTACTTTGAACAAATTTCTACACATTTCTTTATCAGATATAAAAAAAGGGCCTAAAAATACGCGATTTAATACACCCTATTAATAGGCAGTTGATAATAATCTCAAACAAGAGAAAAACTAAGGCAAACGAACACGAACACGAGGTGAGCAAATTTCCAGGAAAATAGTATTCTTTATTGACGCAAGGTTCGCGGGATCGGAAGTAATTTTATACGAGGAAAATTTTTCAATTACGAAAAAAATCCCTGTTTTGAA